CTTGCCAGATACATTGTACATAACACATATATTATCATTATGCTAACTGGTTGTTCGTGTTAGACGATGTAGCTTTTTCATTTCTGAGTTATTGATATATGTAAATAAGCCTGTTTGTAAATAATCCTCAGAGAAACAAAGAAAAAACACAATTTATGACATTTTGTGCTGTGGTTATTTTTTTTAAATTGCATTTATTCACAGTTCAGTTTGAAATGCTGTAGTGACTTGTATTGAACCACTTAAATATTTATAATTAATGCTACTGAAAAGATGCTATTAATTTTATATCTCACATGCAGTTCACTGTAAAGCTACTTGGTGAAGGTGTTGGTTCATAAAACATGAACAGTTTTAAGAAAGAAAAAAACAGACCAGTTCTGAGAACACAAATTCCTGGTAAAGTAGTAGATGTTCAGGTTGATAAATAATATTTTCCACACTGAAGATTATGGAGGTATTGATCAGTCTTCTCATATTTTTAAGCCTCGATTTCTCCTTTCCCCCCCCTCTAACATCACCAGAAGTCATCATTTAAGGGGTCATTTCTCGAAAAAAAAATTCGGGGGGAAACCCCCCGGGTAGGTCACTTGCGGTACGTCAAGAGCCCCACCAAAAAAAAAGACCACCGGCCGCCACTGCGTGTTGGGGTTGTGTGGAAAATAAAAGGAGAGTTCATTTTCCAACTTTTTGTCTGAGTCATCAGTATCAAGTGTTTTCTCACCCCCCACTCTGTGTAAGCCAGCTGCCTATAACCTATCGGTTAGTATACTGACCGATAGGTTATAGGCAGCAGGGCTCGTTGCAAAAGCCTGCAGTTTTTAATCTATCGGTTAATAAACTGCAGAGTTCGCTAATTAAGCCAGCTGCCACCAATCTGTTGATTAGTAGACAGCAGGGCTCGCTGCAGAAGCCTGCTGGTTTTAACCTATCGGTTAATGAACCGCAGAGCTTGCGGCATTCCTCTGTCCGAGATACGTCTCCTACACACGTAATAAGCCCATGAGCGCAGTTATGACGCCTCATGTGGACGTCACGGCACACACCTCCACTCATCCCCTGAGCGTGTACACGCCTCATGATGAGAGCCGGAGTGAAACGCAGCGTGTGGAGGCTCCCTCACAGCCCTTTTGCTCCAGGCCCACCTTGGGTTGCCTCACATGGCTGCGGCGACGAGGGCTCTGACGTGGCTCGTCGCCATGACGACCACAACACATCTCGAGCATGTGCGCCCGCTCTCAGAGTGTTTCTCAGAGTGGTAGCGCGTGTGTCTGATGGACAGATGGATGAGCAGGCTGATCAGCAGAGGGTACACCCTGCAGTTCCTTGGGATACAAGACTCCTGTCATCCCAGGAACAGTGTCTTGCGCTCCATTCAGCGCTGCAGGAACTCCTGTTGAAAAAGGCATTTTTTCAAGGGAGGAAAATCAGGGGTGTTTACTCACGTTATTTTCTAAAATCCCGGAAAAGAACGGGGGAGTGAGACCCATCCTTGATCTGTCAGTATTCCCATGCTGACGATCAAACAGGTGCTGGAATGTGTTCACCAGGATGACTGGTTCACTTCCATAAACCGGAAGCACATATACTTCCATGTAGCCTATCATCATCCCGAAACTCAGGAAATTCCTGCGTTTCTCTTTTCAGGGAAATATCAGACCAGACAATCGTCTGCCGTTCGGATGTTCCCTGGCTCCTCGCATTTTTTCGAAGTGTATAGAAGGCTGGAGCCACTACACAGAGGAGGGATGAGAGAGTGTGGTTTTATCTGGACGACCTGCTATTGCTGGCTCGTTCCAGGGAGGAAGTCGCCTTACAGACGTTACATCTCGTATCGCATCTGTCAAAGCTTGGTTTCCATAATGGATTTGAAGAAGAGCTGTCCTCTTCCCCCCCAGACATTCATTTATCTGCGAGTGGAATAAAACTCAGCCAGCAGAGCGCGGTTCTCGCTGCAGCGAGTGGAGAAACTGACAGCTCCCTATCCAGCGTGTCACATCCCACAGCGTGGTGACAGCCCTCTCCGTGATACAGCTGCTCAGCATGACGTCAGCTGATCACGTGGGGATTCCCCGGGGTCTCCCCCACAGGAGGGGTCTCCAGAGGTGGTTCATTCGCCCACGCACCGACCCCGTGCGTCAGAGGTAAAATGTGCTGGAGTATTCCAGCACTTCGCCTCGTTGCTGTACAATCAAACATGTGTTGATTCGCCCAGCCAACAGGCCACGGCAGCCTACCTCAATCGCCAGGGAGGAGTACGATCTGCGCAGCTTCTGAACGCAGCCAGGCGGCTGCTGTTCTAGGCGCGCACACACGTTGCTCTCCATCAGAGCAATGTATATTCCCGGCGATTTGAACAGAGGTGCTCGCAGAGCGCAGCAGCCGTTTATGCGAGGAGTACGGAGACTCAGACCTGTGTCACGCACACTGGCGGGTCACGCGCACTGGCGCCTCAGTGGGATTTGGCTTTGGTGTTACGCGCACTAAGCAAAGCCCTTTTGAACCTTTAGATCAGGTTCCCCTTAAACTGTTATCAGCCAAAGTAGGCTATTACTTTTGGCTCTAATATCAGCGAAAAGGGTGAGTGATTCGCTCTCTCTGTGGCTCCGTCATGTCTCCGGATCCAAGGAGATGGCAGTTCAGCTGGGTTACGCCCTAACCCGGCTTCATGCCTAAGGCTAAGGTCATCACAACTCTTTTAGGTCAAGAGTGATCACCCTGGCTGGCTTCTTTCCCCCTCCTCACAGGTCGGAGGAAGAAGCCACGTCTCATCTCAGCTGTCCTGCTATGTGACAGACTGCCACTGTTAGGGACTGGTGCTGGAGGTCTCTAGGCCGTCCTTTGGGGGTCTGTGAGCGGGCAAAGAGAGGGGATTTTGCCGGTCTCTGTCCTGGAGGTGTGAAATAAACAGAGTCCCACTGTTAGGGACTGGTGCTGGAGGTCTCTAGGCCGTCCTTTGGGGGTCTGTGAGCGGGCAAAGAGAGGGGATTTTGCCGGACTCTCTCCTGGAGGTGTGAAATAAACAGAGTCCCCATTTCAGGGACACCTCTTGGAGGTCTCTGGGCCGTCCTTTGGGGGCCTGTAGGCCGGCAAAGAGGGCCGTCCTTTGGGGGCCTGTAGGCCGGCAAAGAGACGGGATTTTGCCGGACTCTCTCCTGGAAGTGTGAAATAAACAGAGTCCCCACTTCAGGGAGACCTCTTGGAGGTCTCTGGGCCGTCCTTTGGGGGCCTGTAGGCCGGCAAAGAGACGGGATTTTGCCGGACTCTCTCCTGGAAGTGTGAAATAAACAGAGTGCTACATTTTGTAAATAGCAGAATACCTCCATGGCGCACAACTGCACTTTACAAGCCAGGGAAGGTGCCTGAATCCTGGGTATAAGTTTTGTAAATAGTGCAATACCTCCAGGGCGCATAACTGCACTTTACAAGCCAGGGAAGGTGCCTGAATCCTGGGTATACATTTTGTAAATAGTGCAATACCTCCAGGGCGCATAACTGCACTTTACAAGCCAGGGAAGGTGCCTGAATCCTGGGGTAAACATTGTTTAATTGTTTAAGTGTTTTTAAATGTATGGAACAGTGTTTTGTCTCTTTCAAAACTCTCCCGTCATTGGCCAGATACATGGGGACGATTTTATATTCACTATGACCGTTAATATTCCAGTGAGACGAAGTACGTCCGGTGACGGGAGTGATCCCATGTTAATTTTGTCCGAAAACCAGAGCATTCCCTTATCTTTCTTTCAGGTGTAATATCTACCAATGGTTGTACATGACATAGACCTCCTCCACCTCTTTGCTGTCCTACTAGTCAACCCTTCTGATCAGAGCCTATAGTGGTAAGTTGTTTTACAGTTCAGTGTACGTTAATTTAGCAACTTAATGCTTTACTGCTGTTGAATAAACCCTATATTGCTAGTGATGTTATTAAAACTATGATTTGCAACCTTTTTGATTCCAATTACAATAATCTTTTTGTTATAATTGTAAAACACATCTTAACATCCATCAGCAATCAATCAAACAAATCATCCAACACAAAATAGAAGAAATCTGGACCTATTCTATTTATTTTTATACAACAGCATCTATTGGGACTGCTCATTGATGTCATCAAGAGCCATTGAGTCTACCTTTTGTAGTCGGCCTCTTAGAATGTTTATAATTTTTTTGTCTCTGAACATTCCTATAATAATTTGTTTTTGTATTGTTGATATTGTTTTGTTCTTTATTTTTGTTGTGAGAATCACTTTGCAATTGTGTAAGTGCTATATAAATAGTTATACTAATATTATTGTTGTTACCATCATTACTATTATTAAAAATGTTTTATTTGTTTTCTTTATTTATCGCTGCAGAAAGGATCATGCCAGCCCACATCAAACACCTGATCAAGAACTTGTGAATCTTCAGGCAGAAAAGATGAAAACACCTGTTCAAATTCCAGTTTCCTGTACATGGAACCATGCCTGTACTCTGTTCCACATGTCTTCAGTCAGTTCTGGACCCTATGACTCGGACACTAGTTTTACCAAGGATTATTAGAGGTAAGAGTGGTAGGAGAGGAGTGGAGTTATCTTTGTATCTAGGCTGTAAGTCGACAAAGGTGATCAAATGCTGATGCTAATAATGATCCGATTCATTTGATATAGATTGTCTGCCAATACCGAATCCTGATCCGATTCTTCTATTTCCCAGATAATACAGCTACACCGTGTACACTAGCTCTATTTGTTTTTGCCATTGTAATTCACCATAAGCAATTGTTGACTGTAACGTCTATGCCAACCAACTGTAATTTGTAATGTATTATACTTTAACGGTCAAGTTCTGGCAACCACAGCAGCCCAAATGTTAACGTAAATGTCAAGTTTTCTTTTTACAGTGTACTTATATCTGTACATTTCTTTTCAGTTTGCTTCAAGAAGTGGCTTCAACAGACAGAAATGCAGGCCAGATTGGGAAAGGCTGGACGCTACACAACGGGAAACATTTTGGACATGAACAAGTAAAAAACAAAAAACACTGTCTTTGTTGCCTTTTCCTTATCATACATAGTGTTACTGTTTTTGTTACCATTTAAATATTGAATTGTATTTATTACTTTTATTTTAAATCAATTGCACCTGTTTTAGATAATATATTTATTTTGATGTATAGGTTGATTTGCAGGTTGGTTGTTATTTGTATAATTATTGTATTGTTACTGTGTATTTTATTATATTAAATAGCTATTTATTAAATTAAAATACTGTTATGAACACTATACAATGTCTTTATTTTGGTAGATACCAGAATACACGACACAATGAATCTTTGTAATATACTTATGTTCTCTGGTTTAAATAATCATACCAGTATTTAACCTGTTAAGCCCTGAGCCTGTTTTTCAGGTCTCAGGCTCGAAAATGACATTCCCAGAACAAATGACAATATCTTCCCTTCTAAAAGGGTTAAATTAATAATCTTTTTTCTCAAAGTAATAATAAAACTGTGAGTTGGAAGTAGAAAAGTCAGAACAATATAGATGTTTTTTATTTTAAAGAAAATTCAGATTTTACATTGTAAAAAACTGTAAATTATAGTGTCCGTCCAAAAATTATTTTTTACTTATAGTGAAAACTACCCTTGGATGATGGTAAGGTAGACTAAAAGCTTTAGAAATCCAAAGTACAACATATAATAAGTACCCTGTATCAAGATTGATGCAAAACAAGTGACATTTGACCTTTTTAGAGAGGTTTAGCCAAACACACTCCACCTCTGAGGTGATTTGGGTGGAAATTGTTTTTTTTCCATATCTCTGGCCCCCCTTTGTCGATTTTGATGGTTGACACCTCTTTCTGACCGTTAGAGCCAATAGAATCGAAGGGGGAGTCCCCCACACACACTCGTTATAAAACAAAAAGGTGAGGGCTTTGCGCATGTAATTTTGCATTAGAGTGAAACTATCTCTCGCTCTGACATCTAGAAACGGAAAAGCAGTCTCATTGCTCATGGATTATCAGAAATCATTTCAAACGGACACAGACACATTTGATTAACCTATGGATTAACTTCAGCAGCGTTTTTATCGTTTTAATGCCATTGAAGACCACTTTGGAGAGACTACAGAGCCAAGGTAATCATGTTAGCATTTTTAGCTACCTAGCGCCACATGCTTTGATGTCTGTTTTTGTTTATAACATCGCGATTTCGTATAATTCAGTGATAATGAGGGTACCCTTCAATTCTGTGTCACCTCACGATGTGAAACAATGTCATGGATGTGAAGAAAAGATAAATAATAAGGTTTTGTGAGTGATTTTCGGGGCAGTAATCTGTTAGCATTTTTCGCTCGTTGCTAATTCAGAGCATTGTGGGTTTTCTTTTTTTTAAAAAAAAAAAAAAAAAAGATCAGTTAGATGAGTTTCTTCCCGTTACATGGATATAAAAACATTCATAGTTTATTAAATGAACATGCCCTCAGACACTGTTTCCTGCAAGATGTTGCGGCAGTGCCCCGGTACCGGGGTCTCTCGGGCTTAAAGGCCCAGACACACCAGGCCGAAATCGTCCGTCTTCGTTAGTCGGACGACGAAGCGTGCCCTGTAAATATACGCCTTATTTGATTCCTACAGCTGTAACGGCAGGAGGGTGTGTGAACTAAAGGTCCGTGGCATTGTTAATTCTGATCCCTGCCCTGGGACCGCCACATACCTGGAAACCACCTACTACTGCTTGCCAGCAAGTGAGTCACATCTCTGCAACTAAACAAAGCTTTATAAAATATTATAGTGTGTAATGTCTAATCATTCAATCATTTTATTTTGACAGTTCACTTTGCTACATGTGAGGGCTCTTTGGCACACCTCCAGTGCGGTAATCATTGTCAATATTTTTTACATTTATGGTGGATTTATGGTATGGGCAGAATGATATTGAAAATACATCTCTAAATCTACAATACATTTCTATTTTACTGTGCTGCCAATTGTTTGTGTTCTTTTTTTATAGATGAAGGACAGATTATATTTGTCTACGGTGCTCACTATGGACGCCATGACAAGACCACATGTTCTTACCAATGGCCCGCTAGAAATATTGAAAACGTTGCCTGCTCCAGCCCTACTCACTTAGTTGCAGACAGGTAAAGCTGCAGAGACTTTGCTATAAGGAAAACATTGCACATTACAAGAAACGACTATGCAGTACATATAATCTGTTATAATCTGTTCAAAGCAGTTTGTGATTCTAGTTATAATGCATTCAAAATTGTTTTTATGTATGGTAACTTTGGGAATAATACACTAACACAAGGATCCTTGCAAATGTGAGTGATGAAATAAATTAGTAGTATTAGGATTCTTGACCTTATAGTGATTATGAAATGCTGTATATATATAAATACTGTATATGCTTATTATACCTCAGGCAGTTAGAAAAATGTTACGATTGGAGCAGCAATCTGCAAACATTTCAATGACAGATGTTATAGTCTGTATGAGTGTTTGGATTTTCCTATGCAGTATAAGAAACACCTCTAGGTTTACACACATCAAATTTCATATTCAATGGAAAAAAACAGCTGTACTATCATTGCAACAAACTCTATGTTTGGAAGGGGTTGTCCCCAGACTTACAAGTACCTGGAAGTGGCTTATAACGCAGCTAATAACGCAAAATAGCAATCTGCAAAAATGATTGTGACATACAATACTTGCTGATGGAAAGGCTGTGATTTAGTTTGAACATATATGAAATCTCCCTAGGTTTACACGATAGACTGTATATATAAAGAGGCTGACACAAATCAGATTTGATATGCTCCTGGCCTGGGTCTATTCACTCATGTCACTCCATCCACAGCTGCAATGGAAAAAACCGCTGCACTATCAGTGCAACCAATTCCGAGTTTGGAGACCCTTGTGGCGGCACTTACAAGTACCTGGAGGTGGCTTACACTTGTGTAAGTATCTTACATGTCTACAAAGTGTTGCTACCACACTTCTGCTACAACAGAAAGTTGCTAAATGTGTATTTAAAAAAAAGGCCATCATTGTTATGCTATCAGTATATTCAAGTAGTTGTCTAAAATCATTTTTCCTGTTCTTTCGCAGATCCTTCGTCGGGATTAGCTTCCAAACAATAAACCTCTTAACATACTGATATTCCTGTAATATCAGAAGAAAGAAAACCCCATGGAAATTAAATGGTGCATCTCAAAGTTTTCCTCTTTTTAAATAAACATTCTTAAATAAATGTGTCAGCTTATCAATGTGTTCATGAGAGAAATGTCCGAAATATTGGCTAATTACTGTTCTAGATATCTCAGGGTTTCCCACACATAGACTATACTTGGGCGGGCCGCCCAGGTATATTAACGGCCGCCCAAGTATATTTTGCGACCCATTTATTTTATATTATTATTATTATTTATTTTGTATTATTCGTCCGTGACCACGACGCCAGCTACGATCGTTTAACTTGTGGACAATAATCCCTCACTCTACGCCTCCTGTACCCAGTCCCAGACTGGCCATCGGGAGGACCGGGGGGTTTCCCGATGGCCTGGCCTGTTAAGTGGCCTGCCTCACACAGGGTGACTGGCTGTCTACATGATGTGGCCTGCCGACATGGCCACTGTCATACAGATCATAAATCAAAGCCCTTGATTGGTCTGTGTGTCATTCAAGCTCGGGATAACCTCAGCTCAGGTGAGGTAAAGGACTCTCTGAGTGTTTAGATAGTTAACTTAGTCTAAGTTCTCAGTGGGTCTCAAACGGTTTGGTCACCATTTATGTAAACACATATTTCCATTTGAGGGGGTAGTGATTAGTAAAATATGCATGAATACAAAATAAAAAGTTAACTAGGTGAAAAAAGGTAAGATACACTTTTAAAACTTGTTGAGAGCTAAAAATAGTCTTTGCTGCTGTCTCAAAGAGGAGAAGGGGGGAGAGGAGGGACACACTCACAACTATAAATGAACCAAAAATAAATAAATAAACAAGTTTCAGTGTTTTTTTCATATTGGAAATGGTATCTTATTGGTTATGGCCATGATTTTATGATTATTGAAATGTATACAGTTCTGTTTCATATAGGTGTTTCCATAGATCTAGTCTCTTTATTTGCCCCTCAAAGTGCACCAGATTGATGCATTTAACTCCAAAATTAAAAAAAAATCTTACTGGGGGAGCATGCCCCTGGACCCCCCTAGAGGATTTGAGGTCCACCCACACTTAAAATCACATTGATAGGTTCCTAAATATATTTACCATTTAAAAAAAAATAGTAACCATGTCCATATGTTTATTTGTGGGTAGTAGATTTAAACTATAGGGCTATCACTATGGGCCCTGCCTGTACCTGTTCGCTATGCCATCGCGTGAAGGGTCTGCTAACAAGCGACCAACAGAAAGGTTAATGTTAATGTTGTTGCACGTCACCTCACCTTTGGCAGTTAGCATTAGCACTGTAGCTACAATGGCTAAACCAAGAACACTCAGACCTACAGAATCTGTAGCTAAACAGCAAACACTGTGTGTGTGTGGCATATGAAATAAAATAAATTAAAGAAGGAGTATATTTTATTAAGTCTAAGTCAGACATTCTTTGCTGCTGCTTAAAGGGAAAATGCCAATATTTACTGCAAGGTGAACAAATGGTCTCACAAGTCACCAGTCCAAGTTAAAGTCAATGTTAATTGAACAAAAATATTTTTACCAACAGACAACGTTCCTTCATTTTGTAAATAATACAAAAACCTGGATATTTGCACAAATGTTGACATATCATGCTTTTGTGAAAGCAGCAAAAATGATTTATTAACATAACTATGTGGTTCAAAAAGCTGTGCTTAAATCAAAAACATTCGTCAACAGGCAACACGTCAATCATGGATCAGATTTCTGTGCTCCCTGAAGTAAAAAGGATGTAATGTTGTTACATGTTGTCAAACCTTAGCCTTAATGTCCCACAATGTTCACCTGTTAATATGACTTCATGCAGCATGTGAATGAGTGTAAACATCAGAGGTTATCCACAGCAACGACTACCAAACGACAGTCAGGTTGCTGATGGCGCTGCAGAGGTCAGTTTTGGACGGGTAGACGACCTTGAGGCTCCCGTCCTGGTCCAACGTGCGGACCTGCTGGACGATCAGTTCACTGGAGGTCTCGCTGCTGCCTTCCGGCTCTTGTGGGCCGTCCCCTTCCCCGTCTGAACCAGCCTCCTCCTGATGCTCCGCCGTGAACTTGTTCAACTCCGCCATTTTCTGTGATGAAACCAGAAATGGAAATTAAAAGGATACATTTCAACATTTTTTTGTTTCATAATTGTATTGAAGGTTTCCTCTAGAACATGTTTACATGCTTTCATTTTCAGAAATATCTTTATTTTTCTCATACTGTCTGCCTGAATATAACTGTTTTCACATTGTCAGAACGTCATACAGAACAGAATGAAAGAAGAAAGAAAAAGGGTCTAAACAATGTAGAGATTCCACTAATTTGTTGGTTCACAATTACAAAAAACATTTCTAGATTTATAACAATTCACATTTCCAAAATCGATTTGCACGGGTACTTTTTTCAGGATGTAGTCCGGTCACCATTTAATCATGCAAAATAAATAAAAGGATTTACTAAAAAGTTACAAATTCTCAAATGTAAGATAGACAATAATGGCTAACAGTTTAATTTAAATGAGATTGCTAGGTTAAGGTTGCCTGCCCTTTTATTTATCTAAAAACTTTCCAATTTAAAAAACTAAATGTACGCAAAACAACATTTAATATTGGTATTGTTAGATTTTTAAGAAAGTTAACAATTGTAGGATTACTGCCACACTTACCACAATCAGAGCATCCATAACATCTTTACAGGTCTGCAGGCTGGCTGCACTTGTCACCTCCAAGAACAACTCCTTGGTTGTCTTCTTGATCTGTAAAATCAAATCAGCTGATTATATAACTCCACAGAGACAAACTGTAAGCTACAGGTCGATGTGGCATGAGGGATGTGTAAGGGGTTATTATTTTACACCTTATTTAAGTCTTTAGAGAAAGTACAAATTATGATTTCAAAATAGACATACACACCTTGGTTTTCTCACTGTTAGTTATAGGTGGGAAAGAGATCACATGTCCTTCTGCATCCACAAGGCAGGGATACATTTCTTTTCCCTTCAGAAGCTGAAGGTATCTGTGAAAACACAAAATAGTTGAGACAGCATTATGAAAGGGCTTTAGCAAATGTAACAGACACATAGCAGGTTATATGCTGTTAAGAAATGATTACATTCAATTCAGCCTTTAGATTTAAGATTCTTTGATTTGCAGGTTTCATTTAGTGTGTGTCGGCTTCCTGAATAGTCTTTTAAACCAACAGCAAGTGACTTTAATTAAAGCATTAATAAGATTGAAAAAAGCGGTTTACATAATGTTATTAATCAGTCATGTCTATTATTACCATTAAGATCAACTGATCAATATTATCTCAAAATGTTTCAGCATTTTCTTTTTTATCCCACACTGATAACTACATCCAGAATTGTTGGCTGATGTTGCCTTAAAATGAGCCTACAACTCATTGCTCATTCAACACAAAGGTTTTAATAAAAACAAACTTAAGCTGTCGTCCAACATACTAACACTGCCCTCATGTGTTACAGCAGCAAGCACGTTGTACAGAGGTCTGGTGAACCACTTTAAAGCTGAGGTAGGCAGTTATTTTGGGAAAAATGTTTCATAATAACCTAAGTACGTCTTCCTTTTTGGGTTGCTTTAATGTGTTGGCAGTTGACGCCTATGCTGGAATAGCAACTTTTCCACCATTCAGGTTTTCAATCACCTGAAGGCCATTCTCTATTTATAGAACAGCAGAAACTTTTGTTTCAGAAAATTATCTTGAAGTCTTCCCTCATTTTTTAAAGACTGAAAACAGAACCATGAGCAGGTGTAGGAGTCTAGTGGTCTTTGACTTAATTACACCATGACAAAAAGTGACACCAAAAATAAAACTGCTTACCTTAACTTTAATGTTACGAATAAGGTATTTTATTTTGAAATAACAGTTAATGGGTTTTCAACATTAAGGTTTTTTTTACCAAAACTTTCTTCCCTTGACTCAAGCTTGTAGTTAACCAATAAAGATATTTCATAACACTTTTTCCTACAGAAGAGAAGAGTCAGAAGTAATACTGACTTGTGCAGGCCGGTGACGTTCTGCCTCTTCTTCTGCTTCCTCAGCTCGTCAGCCTCCAGCTGAAGCTGTCTTATCAGCTCGACAGCAGTCATTTCCTTCCGACCCAGCGAAACAACCTAAAAAACAATGCCGTCTTTTGTGAGATGGATATGTTGTTGGAGAGCTTTACAGTGATTATATTTGAGCACAAAGCAACTGAACTGAAATTGACATGAATCTACGTTAGCGTACCTTCAGCTGTGTAGGTGGTTTGACATCATACACCAGAGGAGCTTTAATAAGCTGCACATCATGAGTTGCAATGGTCGCGATGGTCCTTTTACCACATAAGTCATCATGAAGCTTTGTCTGGCAAAACAAGAGGTGACACTTTTTTGGTGACAACACAGCACACTTATTTTATTAGTCATGCTAAACTAAGAAAATTGTCCAAAGCGCACACCCTTGTAAGGTGTCTGATCTTACCTGAGCAACGAGGAATCGTTTAAGAGCGTTCCCAGATTTGAGGTTCATGCCCCTGACAATGCAGCACACCAAGTACGGTCGGACATCTTTCACCTCTGAACTCACTGTCACCGTGAGTGCTTCAGGAGTGTCCGAAACGTGGAGAACCTTCACCACCATCTTGTTCAGTTCCTCCACCTCATCCTCTGCCCCCTTATCCTTCTTCTTCCTCTGCTGGCGTTTACCTTTGTCCGCCTTGCGACCCCCTTCCGCGTCAGCTCCTTCCTCTCCCTGTCTTCCCTTTCCTTTTCCTCTGAGGTACTCCAGAATGGACTTGGTCTGGCAGCCGTTGACCATCTTCTCCAGACGTTTGTCACTCAACTTGTTGCCTTTGAAGTTGATCTCCTTAAGCTTGGCACAGTCACTCAATTCGGGCGGGATCTCCTTTAGCTTGTTGTTAGAGAGGTCCAGCATCTGGAAAGAAATAAAAAGGGCGAACGTTTAGTTTTGAACTCTGAAAAGTTTAATGTTATGTTAAGAAAAAACAATATATCATAATTATATCAAAATCTTGATATGAGAATAGATATCTTCTTACATTTTCGATTTCAGAATATTGTATAAAAGTTGGTAGCTTAAAAGGCTGCATTACAGCAAATGTATGTATTTTTTTGTACTTACCAGAATGTCCTAACTGTTGTATTATTTGCCTTTACCCACTTCATTCTATCCAAAATATACAGGTGATTCTTTTTCTAAAATTATATTGCTTAATATTTTGGGAAATCATTATTATTAAACCTTTTCTCCATATCATCCAGACCTACTGCATTAACATGAAATAGATAAGTCATTTATGGCAGGTTACCGACCAAACTCTGGACAAAAAAATAAAATGTTTGTGCTGCATTGCATATAAGCAAATATGACTCTTTGTTGGTTATAATTCCAGACACACCCTACACAAAGTGAAACCTTCTTTTTAATTCGGCGTACATTTTATTCACCCAGAAGCACAATTAGCCACTAAAAGATGACATGGTATAAGAGCTAACAATAGCATCCGGCCCACCTTTAGAGCAGCTAGCTTGTGAACATCTCCACTCAGCTGTTCAATGGAGTTGTCATAGGCGACCAGCATGCTGAGGAGGTCCAATTTCTCGGAGTAGAAATCAGCAGGGAAAGCAGTGATCTTGTTCTTGGAGATGTTGATGGTGGAGAGCCTGGTGCACTTGCTCAGTCCCTCTGGCAGGACCTCCAGGCTGTTGCAGCTCACATTGAGGGTGTTGAGCTCCTTCAACTGGGTGATCCCCTCGGGTAAAACAGTCAGGTTGTTGGCTGAAATATCCAGGACCTTCAGGGACTTGAGCTGACCGACCACACTCGGGAAGGAGGCGAGCTTGTTCCTGCACAAGATGAGGCTCTGCAGGCTGGTCAGATGTTGGATGTCCTCGTGGATCTCTGTCAAACTCGGGCACTGGCTAACTTCCAGATAGTTCAGCAGTTTGAGGGTGTAGATAGCCGAGCAGAGCCCCCCGTTTGAGGCAATCCTTTCATCGAAAGCTGCACCCTGGAAAACCAGTTCACGTCTCTTCTCTAACGCTACTTTCTCTATTTCTGGCCATTGCTCGATGTCATCCATGCTTGCTGCTGCTAAGACTAGTTGTAAAGAGACAATAAAAAACACTACATCCGTTTTAATATTTCAAAATAAATGTGTATGTTTTGGATTTACAAAATTAGTCAAATCGAAATGTAATTTTATAACAGTATAAGAGCTTTTTTAATTCACAAGATGAATTTACGAACGGTAAAAAATACAAATATAAGATGTTCATCCTCTGGAGTCTAGACTGAAAAAACACAATATGAAACATTTACATTTACACATAGCCTACAATCAAAAATAGACTAAGCATAACACATAAAAAAAACGAAAGTAAATACATCATTTCTAAATAATTATTCATTGGTGATACATACAGATCTGTGACACATTTGGATTTTAAATATTTATATTGTAGGAGCTTACGTGTGTAAAAGTTAATGTTTCATGCTGTGCCTTTATTTTGTAGACAACTTCCTGTTGTAACAGGCACGATGACACGATGCTATTTCCCATCCGGGGTCCTGGAAGAAGTTTGAAAAACGCATTATAAAATACATTTTGAAACATTATCCATGTGATAATTGTTTCGATTTGTAGGCAGAAACACAATACACACACCGGATATTTACGATAAACATGGATTTAACATTTAACGGGTGATGTAAAAAAAACATTTCCGACCGTGTAAAACCACATTGACCACAACCCATTGCGACTGACGTCAGTCCCACACCATTGCGCATGTCCGCGCTGGTTGTTGTCACCGGTGGTTATGGAGATGCGATGGGACTACAAGCTGTCAACATTACGGTGATGTTCGTGGTAAGATATCTTTGAAATAAACGCAATAAAACTTGTATTTACTCCCAATTGTTCACCCAAAAAAGATAGTCTACAACGACCAACAGTTGTCAGGGCATTTCTGTATTTTAGCGGTTCACATTAGAATACAGCTACTGTAAAAGTAGCTATGTTGGCTGATACAGTAGTCAACAGTTAGCTAGCGTTAATGCCCTCCGCCCAACATGCTCCAGTCAGCAATAAAGGCTTCTCTGTCCTACCCCTACCAAGGGGTTTTTGTGTATGCTCTGCCCAATATAGTTTATTTCCTTTGCAGATAACCCTACCCCAAACTAAATGCAGTAAATTAGCAGTTGAATATTTCCTGCGACACAAGTAAACCCTTCAACAAATATTTAAGCCTCGTGCGTTTAGCAAAACGTTATTTACAGCTAATGACACACACTCAGAACCATAACATGATGAACAACGTACCAGCTAGCATTACTAACAAACCGAATGTTAATACATATTTGTATGGTTAAAATAAGTTTATTGTTTGTATTATTTCTTAAAATGAATGTGTAATTGCTGACATGTTTGCTCAGCATTGTTTGGTCAACTAAAGTGACTGTGATTAAACATTGTCTTGTAAATGTGTCAGTACTAGTGATACGAATACACTACCTGTATGTGGTTACTGGTATTTTAAACTATAATTGTAATACTCGAGAAACATACCATTTTGTTCTTACACAACTGTTTTTTTCACTGATAAAAATAGGCTTAAGTTGTCAAACGTTTAGCTCAAGCACCCATACAAGAACACTGCTTGAATAAAATGCAGTGTGAAATTGGAAACATTTAAATCTGAAACTATGTGATCAAATAATAATTAAACTGGACTGAACATCTGACCAGACAATACATGTCAGGTGGTACTAAAAAGAGGTTTGTGAACCAGACATAAAGAGGATTTAGTTTTTTGGTCATAACTAGACATATAATATAAAAGCCTGCCATTAAAGGTGGGGTAGGTAAGTTTGAGAAACCGGCTCGAGATACACTTTTTGTTATATTCCATGGAATGCTCTTAACATCCCGATAGCAATAAATATTTTAAGTGCTTTGACCAAAAATCCATAAAAAAAATGTCATCTGTGGAAGCCGTAGTACTGTAAAAAGCATGACCAATCATTTTAGCCGGCCTGGCTAAAATAACTGGATGGCCTACCTGCCTGTCAGCCTTCCATCTGTGCACAAGCTTATCTCGTGCCCTCATTGGTCATGTGCGCGTTCGTGTGTGTTGGAGGAGGGGCTCTGTAAGGAAGTGGCAGATTTGTTCCGGCTGTGTATTTTCAAATTTTAACGCACTCGAGTTGGTTTCTCCAAAATTACCTACCCCACTTGTCGCTTATTGTTACTAGAGCATCTCCAGGCATAATGTCATTGTTATAGAAAATGGAGATGTTATTAAACACACATTGTAAGCCTGTAGGATAAGTAATTGAATTGTAAAATCATCCTCAATATCAGATGTATATTTTGCTTGTATAAATAAAAATACTTATTTGTGTTCTCTCAGTGTCCACCAGAGGGATGCCCAGGAAGATAGGATTCATTGTGGTCAACTCTTCAAGTCATGAGGACAACTTCAGTGCCAAGGAGCTCATGGTCCACGCACCCACAGTCAATGGCTGGAGATCCAGCAGGTACTTTAATAAAACAGCTCTTAACTTTCACAAGCATGTCACATTTATTCATGTCTTTCTTAGCTGAAAAGCATCAAAAATATTGGCAGTTTTTAGTATTTTTCTACCCTCTTAAAGGTAGGGTAGGTAAGTTTGAGAAACCGGCTCGAGATACACTTTTTGTTATATTCCATGGAATGCTCTTAACATCCCGATAGCAATGAATATCTTAAGTGCTTTGACAAAAAATCCTGGCTAAAATAACTGGATGGCCTACCTGCCTGTCAGCCTTCCATCTGTGCACAAACTTATCTCGTGCCCTCATTGGTCATGTGCGCGTTCGTGTGTGTTGGAGGAGGGGCTCTGTAAGGAAGTGGCAGATTTGTTCCGGCTGTGTATTTTCAAATTTTAACGCACTCGAGTTGGTTTCTCCAAAATTACCTACCCCACTTGTCGCTTATTGCTACTAGAGCATCTCCAGGCATAATGTCATAGAGGGGCTCTATAAGGAAGTGGCAGATTTTCTCCGGTTGTGTATTTTCAAATTCTAGCGATCTCGAGTCGGTTTCTCAAACTTACCTACCCTACCTTTAAACAAATGTAACTTTGTGTAAATCCGATTTTCTGCAGGCTGTGCCCCTACACTCAACATATCACCCTCCAACTGGTGGAGAGATGCAGGGTGAGGAAACTGCAGCTGCTGGCCCATCAGTACCTGATCCCAGCCAAGGTGGAGTTCCACATTGGAGACACCCTGCCTGAAACCGGCACTTCAGGGTTCCCTGGACAGCTTCGCCGACTCGGGTGAGACTGCAGACTCGGATAGGCTACATTTTTACTTCTACCTTAAAGGGTAGTTTTACTATAATTGTTGTCCAGGCACTAGGGATGAGGCGGGGGGGCATTGGGATATATATTTTTTAAATCCTCTGGAGCAGAGAGAGGAGCTGTGGATTATTGTTATTGATTAATGCATCAGTGTTTCTTAGGGTCAAAAACACTAAACTCACAACTTAACATGAAAGCGTTTAGTTTATTTAATAAAAGAGCACATGTTCAATGTGAAAAGTGACAGTAGATATATATTAGTTGCAATTTGGTGCTATATATATATATATATATATATATATTATATATTTAAAAAAATAAACACCTTGAATTTCAGGGGGGGCGCGGGGCTCCGTTGGCGGGGCTCCGTTGGCGGGGCTCCGTTGGCGGGGCGCAGCGCCCCTCCAATGCGGCTTTCACACCAGCGCTTTTCCCTTTCTAGCTCCTAGCTAGAGCTTTTCTGGTTCAGCTCCGGTTTTCCTTTTCAGCTCCCGCTCTGTTCACACCGCCCAGCTGCCGCTGCTGCGTCATGATGTCACCGTTTACATCGCTGATTTTCTCCCCAACAACAACAACGGGGGGGGACTGCGTCGGGTCGATGATCGTGTTGCTTTTAATCATACGAAGCCAGATTAAATTAAATAACGACTTCTCCAACCTTATACTTTTCTCCAGAGTGCCGTGGTTCATTGTTTATTAATGTGTTTCAGCGGCATTTACCGACCGCTGCAGTGCTGGCTGCTCTTCCACGGGAGTTTATTCTCCCGTTAGCTCCGGGTTAGCACACACGGCTCTAAAGTATTCACTGTCTGACTGTCACACAAGCAGCTGATACATATCCCCAGTTCCCCTTAAGTGAATGTGTGTCAGTCTGAATTGACGCTGTTTGGCATCACAACGCTGTTATGAAAGTTTCTCTGGTATAACATGGGTGATGTTAGCATAGCAACCGAAGCTAAACTGACTACTTGCTAAGCCGTTTTCTACAGGCACATTTTCATGCTTCGCGTCAGGCCGAACCACGCCCCTTAACTGTGATATAATGGCCATATACCACGGCCTGTCATGAGCTATTGCTTAAGTATCTTTACAGTATACATTGCTGCAGGAATAAGTGCTAAAAGCTGTATATGATTGCACGTGTTAAACAAGTGCATTGAAGTAAAAAAGTGTTTATATCTAACTTTAGCAATTGCATTTATGCTTCAAATATCCAAAATGTGGTGTTCTTCTGTGAAGATTAAATTGCTGAATAAAACCTTCAACTTTTGACTTTTTTTTTCTCAAAAAATGTTATTTTTTTTAAAACACCAAAATCCAAAGTGAATAACCCATTGGCATTTTGTCAAAGGAACCAGCGTGATGCTTACAGGCTGGCCTTCAAACACATATAATCCCTGCAGCATTCTATATCATGATAGATTAAAATTGTTTGTGCATTTAAGTCTAGTATTTATCAGCAGAGGACTTTAACTGAAAGGCAACACTGTACTCTCACCACAGGTACGTGTCTTTGTCGGACAATGAGAAGACGGGTTTCAAAGCTCGGGAGTTGAAGTCAGTCCACGTGGACGCCATCGGAACATACCTCAGAATTACCTTCCACAGGAACCATGTCAACCAATACAATCATCACAATCAGGTAGTCTGTTACACCATTTTCACATGATTTTTTGATTATAATAAAAATATAGAATATCACCAACCTTATCCTTTAAAATGCTGTAAAGTATTTACCATATTAACCTCCCAACACATCCTTTTGTCACATGCATTGATATATTTTTTTCTGTTCTACCACATACCAACATGTATTTATGATTTCAGGTTGCTTTGGTGGCCATTAATGTTGTGGGAGATTCTTTGGATGGCAATGCTTTTAACACTATTGTAAGTGAGCACTTTCTGCACCCAGTCACCCTTCACTGAACTTCTATCTGCTCGGCATTAGATGGGGCTGTTGTGCTGTGGTTTTATGAGACATGCTCATCAGTCTGTCATCAGTCACTAAGTAATGAGTTGATTGATGTCTTCATCCATTTGCTGGGGACTATGACAGTTTGAACTTTGGCTTTTTAAAATGGTAACACGAATGGTGAAATAATTAGTCACGTAAGGTATATTATTTGTGTATCCTTTTATAAGCTGGATTCTGAACAATGTTCCTATTATGATGCTATTTGCCTTTTTAAATATTAGATATTTATATGGGGAGGATGTACTGGATTAAATAGATATAATAGATCAACATTTATTTTGATCGGACGTTTATGTTGTATTTATTTGTATTACTATTTACTGATCCGAAATACACTATATAAGCATGTCTATATGCACACGTGTTTACCTGAATGGTGTGTGTGTGTATGTGTCAGGAATGTAGTAATGAGACACAAAGGCAGGATAGTATGTAATCACACAGGAGGCCTTTAGTTAGCCGGTGAAATCAGATAGTTCTGCAGACAGACAGGTTCTGGAGGAGAGAGAGCACCTTAAAACACAAAAAAACACACACAGACAGGGAGAGACACGGACACACACTCGCACAGATTCCAGTGAACAGGCCGTGCATTGTTGCTCTGCTAATCCGACTCTGAGCACCTCCACCGCAGCAGCGATCTCGCCTGGAGGGTCGGCTAGATCTTGTTCTCTTGTATCTGTTCTGTGAGCGCACGTTGTGTTTGTCCTGCGGAGGGACACTGTGGTGCAGACAAAGCAAGGAAGCTTATTGTATTTTAAAAGTGTTGGTTATTTAAATTATTAAGAAAAAGGTATCTTCAACCTTACCTCTAGGGGGTATCAAGCCACGCACATTTGTCAAATGCAATGGAGGGGAATGGAATTTTGTTCATCGTACTCACACAGCCATTCAAAAGTGTAAGGGATGATGGTAAACGGAAGCTTTTTCCAATTGTGGATATGTTGAAGCTGCCGTTATTGCCTCCAAAAAAAGGATTCTGAATTTAAATATACTCAAACCGACCAGACTTATGTTATACATTATAAATTGTGTACTCACATTTGATTAAAAACATCTTTAATTCGAAAAATCCCTGCTTTCAATCGAGCTAACAGTCTTTTTGATATTGGTAATAGCAACATATCCCCTTTGAACGGTGTGGTTGTTTGCCAGAAATCATATATTGCATTTTGATCCAGGTACTGTATAGGCAACATTCTTACAATAGACTTTTGAGATATGAATTGTTTTTAACCATACATTTCCCCCCGGTTGAAGGAAGCTGAGCAAACATTAGTGGTTAGCTTGCTGCTTTTCAATTCTATGTCTGCTAAACGTGACCATTTTAACATGAATGTTTTGGTCAGTATTTTACTTTTCTAATCTCTGGCTCTATTTGTTATAGAGAGAAGGAAACTGTGGATAATTCTGCTCCCGATAAAAACCTCCTTGACATTTGACAACGAACAAATCTCAACCTTAAAGGTCCCATGACATGCTTTTCTGGTTATTACCCGTCCCCTTGTGTGTTATGTAGCTTTTTCTGCATGTAAACGGTCTGCAAAGTCACAAACCCTCAAAGTACACCCTGTAGCGAGTAAAACTCTAACACAGAAAATACCTGTCTATGCTCCCCCAGAACTCCTCGTTGGAGATTTTTCTTTTGCCAATTTCTTCTTCCTGGTCATAATAATAATAATAGCTTGGATTTATATAGCGCCTTTCATGAGACCCAAGGTCGCGTTACAAAGAAGAACAGGGGCAAAACAAACATAACAAAAACAAAAGGCAGTCAGACAACCAGTCAGACAGACAAAACAACAAATAGATTTAGAGGCCAAAGGCCTTAGTAAACAGATGGGTCTTGAGGGCCCTTTTGAAGGCGTCAAGCGTGGGGATGTTGCGGATCTCCGCAGGGAGAGCGTTCCAGAGGGTGGGGGCTGCCACACTGAAGGCTCTGTCCCCGAAGGTTCGCAGTTTGGTGCGGGGGGTGGTAAGCAGGCCAGAGTCTGAAGACCGCAGGTTCCGGGGTGGGGCATGTGGGCGAAGGATGTCCGATAGGTACTGGGGGGCATGGGCATGGAGGGACTTGTAGGTAAGGAGGAGGATTTTGTATGTTATGCGGGACTAGACCGGCAACCAGTGGAGGTGGATGAGGGTGAGAGTGATGTGCTGCCACGGCTTTGTATGTGTGAGTACCCTAGCAGCACCGTTTGGAACATACTGGAGCCTGTCCAGGGTTTTGTTGGGAACCCCAAACAGGACACCATTGCAGTAGTCCAAGCGGGAGGTGACAAACGCATGGACTAGGGTTTCGGCAACCGACTCCGAGAGTGACGGTCGGAGTCTGACAATGTTCCTTAGATGGAAAAAGGCCGATTTGGTCACAGACTTGACGTGGGAGTGGAAGGAATGGGTGTAGTCGAGGATGACACCCAGGTTGCGGGCTTCAGGAGATGGGGAGATGGAGCAGCCGTCAACCTCGAGGATGAAGTCACCAACCTTCCGGAGCAGCGCCTTGGGTGCCACAACCATGAGCTCTATTTTCCTGCTGTTTAGTTTGAGATAGTTGGACGACATCCATGCTTTGATGTCATGCAGGCAGTTGATGAGAGACTGAGGGGGGAGCTGGGAAGATGGAGTAGTGCTGAGATACAATTGGGTATCATCAGCGTAACAGTGGAAATTGAGTCCATGATGTCGGATGATCTGGCCGAGGGGGAGCATGTAAATGGTGAACAGGAGGGGGCCAAGCACAGAGCCCTGGGGTACACCGTGGTAGACTGGTACCGGGGGTGAGTTTGAGCCATTGATGGAGACAAACTATTTCCTGTTATGGAGGTAGGATGTGAACCAAGACAGCGCTGTGCCAGTGACACCTAGGAGGTCTGAGAGGCGGGTGAGGAGGATGTTGTGAGAGATGGTGTCAAACGCTGCAGAGAGGTCCAGGAGGATGAGGATGCTGAGGCGGCCAGAGTCAGCAGCAATGAGGAGATCGTTGGTGATCTTGATGAGGGCGGTCTCAGTGCTGTGTTGCTGTCTGAAGCCGGATTGGAAGGGCTCATAGAGCTCATGGTTGGACATGTACAGATGGAGTTGGCCGGCGACCACTCTTTCCAGAGTTTTGCTTAGGAAGGGAAGGTTGGAGATCGGCCGGTGGTTCTGGAGGTCGTCGGGGTCCAGGCCAGGTTTTTTTAGTATGGGGGTGGCTGTGAGTGTGTGTGTGTGCTCAGGCTGAGTTCCGCGGTGTCTCGCTGTCTCGCAGACCCCACGCAGCAACCAGGAAACGACACCAGTAATACAGCTCACACTGTCCGCTCCTCGAGCCCCAAAGGGCGGAGCAGGGAGCCCCGCAACGTCCCGCCATCATGGCACCCAGACCGCACGCAGCATTCTCATCTGTTTGTCATTACTAGTGTCATTTTCTGGTTGCTAACGCCATTGTAACACATAATCACTGATGTTCCGCTGTAACGGTGGTGGACTCATCAGAACAGAGTGGGCGAGCTGACCAATCAGAGCACAGTGGGCTCATAGGGAGGAGGGGGCAGGAGCTCCAACAAGCCGTTTAGGACAGAGAGTGAATACACATACTATACAGAGATGCTGTATGAGAAACCAATGTGAGTTTGGAACATTGAACAATGTAAATCTATTCTAGTAGACCTCAACAATGGAATTATGATAGAAATGGCCATGACATGGGACCTTTAAGAAGCCTATTGCATTGCAAATGTGGAAAAGACTCATGATCCCATGCTTTTACACAACTCCACCAATCTTTTGTTCTTGTTTGGATTGAGGGCAGGACACTACATATTGTACAGCTAAGTCTCCCTTATACAGTACTATCAATCTGCTCTGTTCCGTCAATATACAATTAGTAATGCCAATCTTTAGGCTTTAGTAAATGCTGACGAAGCGAAATCTGATTATTTTACATTTTGAGCTTTCTCCAACCTGGTTTGCCTTTATTTTCACTTATCATCACAATAAAAAGCACAGGTGTTACTAGTATCATTAACGATGGCTCTTTATGCATGCCAATATTTCATTATTTACACCTGTGCTTCTTCTACTGTGACGTCTAAGAAATAAGATAGTTGATATGTTTCCTAATTGATTCCTCTAATTAAGGTGTTATAGAATAATGGTGGTTGGAAATATTATGGACCACGTTATAACCCTCTCATGCTGGATAAATTCCGTTGTCACTTTTCATATCGGCTTGTGCTTCGTAACAGAAAACGGTTAACTGCCTATTTATCTAGAGTAACCAGTTCCTGGAAACACACCTTGGTGTTTAATATAAACATATGTTTTTGAATGCTGGGCACAATGTAGATTCAATTATATTCACACAATTATTTTGGAGTGGATGCATAAAGTATTAAGAACGTTTCTATATTTTGACTGACCCCAAAACATGTTATCTAATCTGTGTCATGTGAATAATGAAATTCTCCTCATACTAATGTTCCACTATCTTATTCAATAGTGACATTCAAACATATTATCATGTCTTTTATCCCCTTGGATGATATATTATCTTCGTATTTCAGGAAAAAGAACGACATACTGCACTATGATTAAATAAGTGTACAATATTGTGCGTGTTCCTACTTATTACTGTCCTTCCTCATATTACATGCAGATTTCATGAATTATGTCATTCATAGACAGCCTGTTCTTTGACCGATTGTCCACTTCACACTTCAGGTGATAGCAGTGTATTAAAAATCTCCATATTTGGTCGTAGCCTTGAATTGCTGATAAGTAATTAGGTTTTGATGTATGCATGTGTGTGTGAGTACACTTGTATTACTGACGTGTTCAAGTCCGCACATTTTCACAGGTCTCACTTTTAAATGGCAATGTTTTGGTTACTTTAAGGTTAGGGTTTTAATTGAAGGTCACTTTAGAGCTAACAGGATTAGGAGACAATTACCAGGTCTTCCTGAGCACAGTAATACAAGAGTATATATGCATGTGTGTGTTTTAATTTGTCCATCTGTTTACCCCCAGCCAAGCCGAGAGCAGCTGATCGAACACTACCTCAACAGTACCCAGCTGGAATCCGCCTTGGACACGACCTTCATGGGGTGAGGCGAGGACATTGAACCCTGCTTTCTTTGTCTTGTGACAATAACACCCTTCAACAAAGCCATTTAGTCTGGAAGACAACCAATAAGGCATTCAAGGTCACACGCATTTGAAGACAATGCAGGTGGCGGCCCGTGTGAGGAGGAAAACATATTTCGAAATACTCCTTTCTTTCCTTTTTCCTTTAAAAAAAAAATATATATATATATCAACCCCCAAGGGATGCTTCACCTCAGGGGCTGGGTTAGTGTTTTTTCCCTTTGATCAGGATTTGCACATACCCATTTAACTGAGACACATACATTTTACACTGACATTATCTCAAGTGAATTAGACCACATTTATATTGAAGAGAAATCAATGTTTGAAGGTTTTGTTTTGTAAACTGTTTCAAATGTTTTTGTGTCCAGTAAATGTGAGTCCATCTCCCCCTTGGATGACCTGGCCTTCGACATGTACCAGGACCCAGAGGTCGCCCACATCATCAGACTCCTGGACCAGAAGAAGCAGGACATGGTCCGGCAGGAGAAATACGAGCAGGCCAAGAATCTGAAGCAGGCCATCGCAGACCTGCAAAAGGTACTACTGCTGCTGGGAGGTAGACACATGTGGCTACAACACATTGACACCAAATATTTGCTTACATGGTGGGCAGTATGCTCTACAAATAACAGGATGTATTCCGTCTTAATGAGTTACTAAATGTCTGCAAAAGAACAATTAATATTTAAGCCCTTCAAAACATTGATTCTTGCTATGTACTCAACACACAGACATGGTGTCAATTCCTATCATGTATTTTTGAGCAACAAAGTAAATAAGCTTATTTCACAGAATGTAAAAACTGTTCATTTAAAACCCTTCTGTTAAAGATTTGGCACAAAGCTTCATTTTCACTTATCACTTATAATTATTTTTCTGGAAGGAAAATAACATGATGTCATAGCAACATCTTAAGGTTGGACTTTAGTATTGAGCTATGCCAGTTGCATTGTGTTATGACGCTCTTGTTTCAGTACAAACACATACTTTGTGAACACACAACCAAAACATTTACTTAATATCCCTGGTTACTCAAAATACTTTTCCAGAAAAAGTCAGTTGACTTTTGCAAGAATTTCTTGGAAAATAATAGTTAAAACAGAATATGATTCAACATAAAATACATCATCATTTCATTTAACATCATAGATTTGTTATAGAATATACTATCCAACAGTATGGAACATAGTGGACAAAAACACCAACCATACTAGCTTCAGGATTGTGTACATTAAAAAATATATATATCTTAATCCAATTTAATATTAAACAGATAAACACTGAAGCATTTAATGAACTCATTATGAACTCTATTATCATAAATCAAGTTCATTTAGCTGATTACTTGTATTTTTCTGAATCAAGAACTCCTACTTCTATTTTGGAATTGCTGCTTTAACATAACTATCTAAAAAAACTCCCTTCATCGCTGTTCTTTTACACCATGTTATCTCTATTTGCTTTTGGCAGATTGTTTTACTCTTTAGACAAAGAAGACATTTAGTGTGTAAGGAAATATTTTGGTTTCAGATATCTTCATCCGCTCACTTCGACTGATAATCATTCCTCTCTTGCAAATCTCAACTTTGCGAGGCTTGTATTTCTTTTTACAGATATCCAGTGTGATTTCACCACTGTTTGTAACAGTAGTGGTTAAACATTGTTCAGATTCCTGTCACCGACCTCCTTTGTATAGAGCGTTACCATGCTGACCATGAATTCTTAATATGCCCAACAGCTGCAGTGACCGTCCTCGACTAGCGTCTCTCCAACTCCCAACCGGCAGCCTTTCTGTAACTAGATAACACACACACACTGGCACCTTGTTAGCATGGCATATTAACATTTCACTCAAGGCAGTTGCCAAGGTAGTCATGCTGAAAATCCCTTGTCATCACACCATCAAGATTTCATGGGATGGTTTTTGTCGTTACATGATATCTAAAGAAACGCATGACGGAAAGAAGAGTAGACAAAAAGGCGGAGAACTGGTCTGGTGTGTTTCTTCTATCTTATTTGGCCAACGTTACTTAAATATAAACTGTAGAAACAGTTGCCGTGGTATTGCATTGCTTGGTGTGATTCAACAGAGTAAGGAATCAGAGCGCGTTGATGTTCAGATCGTGTCTCCTGGCACCTGGTTAGCAACTTATGACAGCTTTACAGAATTTCCTGACCTACTGGAAATGTCCAGCTTGTAAATCTTAATGATTCACCATGTGGCACTCTTACTGTTACGCGGCACAAGGGCTGAATTCTGGAAAGTTAAAATGTGAGTCTTATTCCTGTAGTTTTAACTCTGTTTGTATTGGTTACAATGAGCCTGTCCTTACCAAAGGAATGCTTTAAATGACTCACACACATGAACACAGTCACATCAGAACAATGAGGTCCAAAAAGCCAAGCATTTGTTTAATATTCTCAATCTCTCTACTCAGAGGTTAAACTGAAAGAGAGAGCATATATAAAATTCCTTATAATACCGGAAAACTGTCCCTGGCTACAGAAAGCACAGTTCGTTGAACCAGGAAGTTGGCAAGTAAACTGGAATGGGTGTTAGAAACTCACACCTCATGCAATCATTTTTTCTTTAAAATAAATTTGGCTAACTTGGTTTCTTTCAAACTGTCTGACCTTGTGACTGTTCGTGTTTATCGCGCCGTTACATTTATTTTCAATAACTACCGTCCAAGATCTTAGCAATTAACCTATGAGTACAATCTTCTTCTTAACAAAAATAATCATTAGAAATAAGATCAACATTGTAATGTTTTTAATCACAAACTGCCATAAATCCATCAATCATGAGACCATGAGCAGTCTCAACAGGCCTGCTCTCATATGTACCCGTTTAAATCTAGCACTAGGCACAAAGGCAATTTTTTGTAGTGGCCAAACGGTGGTACTAAAACTTCTCGGTCAAAAATACTTTATTCAGTTGGGAATGTGAGGTCTGTCATTTTTTGCGCGAGACTCAGAGCAACTTTCATAGGAATGAATGTGGCCCCACCTCTAACGCTGTATCCAGTTCTCTTTATACATCCATGGTTTAATGTGTAGTGAAGGCCTCTCCTTGTCCTGCACTCTTCCAGGTAGGGGAGCGTTTGGCCCGTTATGATGTGGAGAAGCGATGTGCAATCGAAAAGGAAGACTATGATCTTGCCAAGAAGAAGAAGGAGATGATGGAGGAATACAGGACGAGCGTCTACCAGCAGCTGGAAGTCCACCACCTGCTGGACATGTCAATAGTAAGTCAGCATGTTTTATATGTTTTATAAATATATTTGTATTCAAGGTGTTGGGGTTGAACAAGAAGAGAAATAAAGGAATATGGGGGAAATAATGACTTATCCTGCCTAAACTGAGTTAGTAACTGAACAGGCTGTTGTCCATCGTGGATAACCCCACCCATCCTCTCCACCTGCAGCTGGACAGACAGCGGAGCTCCTTCTCCAACAGACTGCTGACGCTCCGCTGTCACAAGGACAGATAAAGGAAAACATTCCTGCCCACTGCAATAACACTGTACAACAAATCACCTCTGGCTGGCAGAGAACTCTCTGCTCCATAGTTTCTCTTGGAATAAAATCACACTGTACATTTTACATTTATATATTCAGTTTAATATTCCATCTGTCACATACTTATGTAAATATAATACCTTGCTTTATATCTTGTTATTGTTAATTCGTAATTTTCTACTTTCTTGTTTATTTCTTGTCTTTACATTTTTATTGTACAATGCCATGTCTTTTTACGCTGCTGCCACACAAACATTTCCCAAATTGGGATCAATAAAGTACTATCTTATCTTATCTTATCTTCTTCTACCTTTTGATCAGATCACACGTGTCGCAGATTCCTCTCCATCCCGGGAACCTCCCTCCCTTCAGCCTTCTCCAGGTCACTCTTCAGTTCCCACAAAGTCCCTCATTTCAACCGACACATTCAGGAAGGGGAAGAAAAAGGACGCTCCTCAGAATCAACAGTTAGATGCGAAAACTATTGTTCCCAAGCAACCAAGCAACCAATCTGACTCAACGAGTACCCCCGTTATTGTACCCAGGATTGACGTAAGTGACACTTTAGGAAATGCATCATAAAAGCATAAACATGTCTGACACCTGCAGCATCTTGTCACACAGGCGAGGAAAGGCTGTATTTATACTGCATATTTTAACAACAATCTAAAGTGGTTTACGAATAAACCTTAAGACATTGTAAATGGGCTTTTCCAGTCTTTACGACCCCTCAAAGCACTTTATATATACAAGTCAGCATTCAGCCATTCACAGCCATTCATAGAGAGGCAGGGGCTGCCATGCAAGGTGCCACCTGCTTAAGGGAAGTAACATTCCCACACGTTCACACATCGTTGGCCATGCCATCAGGAGAAACTTGGGGTTAGGTATCTTGCCCAAAGACACGTCGACATGTTGACTAAAGGGTCCTTCCAATTGTTAAAAACAGTAATTCATTAAAAGGCCAAGAGAACATATATATTATATATGTTTTATATATGTTTTTTTCCAGATATATTGAGCTTAAAAAATCAATAACAGCAATTGGTTAAAGACAATATTGATGGTCTGTGATGACAAACCCACCCAAGGTTTTAATCCAGTTGTGCACAGCTGTATCTGTAGCTTTGTTGTTGTAACAATAACCCAGCCTTTTGTAGCACCCTTGGGAACACCTCGCCTGTCTTAAGCCTCTGTAGTGTTGGGAGATTATGACCAGCGGGGGCTTTTATGCTTTACTCACCACCTACTGGGACCGGCCCTGCTGCAGGTTTGGGTTTCACTATTTAATTAAAAGCGTGCAACAGTTGGCTGACTCCAGCGGCTGCCAACCTGGCCTCAAGGCAGGGCTTTGAGCCTGGTACCAGGCAGAGGGGTGCTAGTTGGCCCTGGGGCCGGCAGACGGTCCCGACCGGGTGGAGATTGGGTTTGTATGGACGGGGTTAAACAGTCATTGTCATCGTGTTGTTGATTGATCGACCCTTTCAGTGATCAAATGCTAGTGAGAGTTAGTGAAAAGAACAAGGGACATGTGATGATGAATTTTTCAAAAGGTTGGACATCCTTGTCAGACTCAAAAGTGTGGATCAGTTTTCTTTGGACTGTTAAACAGAGGTATCATTAGAATACTATTACTTGATTACTTCATCAGTATTCAGGTTAAAAACACAATAAAAAAAACTGGTCTTGTATTTATTTGTATTTTTTAAATGTTTTAATGGACATTATTATGTGTATATATATTTGTATTCTATTTATCTTTTATTTTATTTCAGTCTAAAATGAAGCAACTGTCATGAAACCCATTCTGATTTAAAATGTATGTAAATACCATATTTAATGCTTTAAATGCCAATGTACTGTTTTCTTGTGCTGACAGGTTATCTGTATGCCTTACGATGAGAGGCCGCTTCCAGTCCAAAGGAAAGACCGGCCTGTGGAGGTGTCTCTGAGCCCCACACAGCAGCTGTCACCCCAACCTGACGCCCAAAGGACTCCGCCCAGCCCTGAGATGAGCGGAGAGGCAGAGCCCCTGACGGAGAAGGCCCAGAGAGAAGCCAGCCTTCCAATAGAAGTCTATGGAGGAAGACTGGTAAGAAGAAAAAGATGGAGAACTGGAAAAACATGGCTTTGTTAAGCTAACTAAGTGTTTTACTTTCTACACACAATTAATTTTCTACATACAGTATGTGCTCAGAATAACGTGTGTTTTTTATGTATAGTTAAAGCCAGTTCTCATTGCTCTGTTTTTGTTGTCCCAGATATCTTTGAATCAATACGTGAACAGATAAAAAGCTTGCAGTACTCAAAATACCAAAACCAAAGATTTGTTAGAGATATCTTTCACTACACAAGCTTTGTTCTCCAATGAATCGAGTAATTACCCTCCTTTTGGCTCTTTTTGGCTCTTGTTTTGGTATTCATCAACTCCTGAGAAAAATACATAATTAGCGCGTGAATAAGTTCTGTAGCTGCAAGATGGTCAGCTCAGTTTTCAGCTAGTTTCTAACAGCGTCTTGTATTCCGTGCCGTCATGCGCAGGTATTGTGAAGTTGGATTCATCAGAGATGTTTTTATTGCTGAAACCTTTGCCTGTAGACGCTGGAATAAAGACTTAGGTTGAGTTGCGAAATTTTTCACAATTATAGTCATTTTATCCATTGATAATATATGAAATAGTGATTAGCCCTAGGAAGGCAAAAAGCTGAGGTACGCTGAGCTAGCAATGGTGGGCGATTCCGTGGCTGGGAAGCAAAGGTTCAGCCAGATGAGGTAGGCTGCAGAGGGTGTGTAGCAACATCTATGACGAGGCTAATCAGTGAGGTCGGAGTAAGAGCCACGACCCAAAAGAAAGCCTCTTGAGAACTGCTGAAAAAGGCAGTCAGTGGCTCTGGAGGAACAGAAATGAATCCACCATGGCCCTCAAGTGAGTAGATGGCATTTAGGGGGTGAGCCTGGGATGCTGGGATTTACTGCTGAACCCTCTTGAGGTGTCATGGGCCTATCAGCGAAACATCGAGGAAAGAGTGCGCCCTTTTGATAACCCAAAGGATTCCATCCCACACTTGATCATCCTGCAGAGTCCAGGCAGCAGCATGTCTCTAGAATGCAATCAAAGCATATTACCACCTACTCCTACATAAAAGATTTAGCACAGCTTTATGGAATTATTTTTTTTAAACTTTTGTTGATTTGGCAATTAGTAGAAACAGGCTTATATTAAACCATTTCTATACGGTACACAGAATTACACACATCTTTATCCACATCTACCCACATAACTGACATTTGTGATCTCTTTTCCCCGCCTCTTTACTTTTCCAGGTGGCAGGGGCATATTCCAGAACCTGGTGCTACAGAGAGGATGCTCTCCTGGCTGTGTACAAGAAGCTAACGGAGCTATCACCCACCACCCCCAAGGAGGATCTGAGAAACATGACGAGAGCTGCAGTCTTCCTGGTCAAGAAGGCCCTCCTGGATAAAGTGTCATCTGTGAGTAATGTCCTCGAAAGACAATTCATTCTGCTGTGAATTGAATGAATGTAACAGAAACTAAAGAAGCCTCTTAGCCAATAGGGATATATTTACTTTGTCAATGTCGAAGTGTTGTTTAAATCATGTTCTCTGGATTCCTGTTGCACAGTTAGATCATAAGCACACACTCTAACATGCAGAGTCCTAACAATGTTCCCCCTGTCACATATACAACCCTAGTTCTCTCTCCCAGAGCTGGCTTCCTTACACAAACACTGTTGACAAGGATGGCCTTGTAACCCCTCGCTAGAAGTCGTCTATGTCTATATCAAGGCTTGTATGGTAATGAAAAGTAGCGCCACAATAATTTTAGTGATTTATTTTCTTGTCTTATTGATTCACAGAAGGCTCCATTAAGTAGTCAGCAGGTTCATTTTTTGCTCCACAAATGTGCGTTACTTTAGTTTGTGTCATATACGCCTTTCTCTGGCAATTCAGTGGCATAAGCTGCATGTCATGTTGTTACACCCTGGCTATGAAATAAGCACAGCGTGTTTTTTTAAATCCCTTTCCTTTTGAAGATCACCTTGTGACCACAAAATACCACACATCATTTTAATCTATTGCATAATTTAAGTGATATGGAGAAAAGCAGGCGCCTGTGCTTCCCGCTGTAAGGCCACTTTCTTGTGGGTGGATTTATTAATACATATGCTTTTATTTTAAAAACCTTATGCTGTTGTTATTTAGCTTTTTGGAGCTGAGATGCTGCTCCAACAGTCCCGCAATTTTAGATCTAGACTACATGGGGATTTATAATTGAATTGAAGTAAATTCGTTTTTCCATGTTTGTATGCACCGTGATAATGATTAGCTACCAAAAATAACTTATATATAGTGATTTATTAGAAGAGAACCAAGCATTTCTATATAAAATCAGACATTCAGCACTCCCATGATTCCCAAACGGAATGGCCCTTTGTTTCATAACCACATTCTCCCGCCACTGCGACAATCTGATTTAGATTGGCAGTTGAATTTCCTTAGATCAAAGTGAACTATTGGCGCGACCCCTACCATTCACTACTGATGTTTATCCCTCTCCCTCTGCATACTCTAACCCACTCAGAGTAAACATTGCAGAGTCGAGCCTCTCTGCTAATTGATCACCCTGGTGCTACCTTTTCTTGGAAAGTCTACTCCGTTTGGAGCTAAACGTCCCTCCGTCTCTCCTCAGGTTTTCAACGCCTCCTTGAAGGTACTGCGACTGCTGCTGAGTCAGCTGATCCCGGGTCTGGGCCGGTCTGAGGTCACCCACTGCGTAGATCAGGCCTGGCCCAACCTGCTGGCCAGGACTGGGGACTCAGCCAGCCGCGTCCGGGGCACGGCCACTGCCTTCATACAGGTATTAACACACAGGATTAACATGTTGATTTACATTAATTTGCATCCTAGCTTTGACTGAGGAAAAGATAAATTTGTAATATCCCTCTCCACTTTCTTCCCTTGTGTAAAGCTCTGTTGGAACTTTTGCCTGAACATTTAGAAAAATCAGCACCCTCATTATCTTTTACGCCATAAAACAATGTTAAATCTTACTTGGTTCTTGGTGATAATCTTATTTTTTAATGGTTATTATATGCGATTTAAAGGGATTTCTTGACGTTCAATTTTCTCACACACCAAAAGGGCGGAACACCTGTTATCTTGTATCCAAAACAAAGTGATTTAAGTGACCATCCCATCCCCTGAGGCAGTTACAGTTACCAAGACAGCTTGACTGCAAACAACTATGCACCAATACAACCAAAACAATATTCGCGCAACATAATCACATGAATACTTACAATGAAGTATTTAGTAGTAAAGGCAAGTTAAAGGAGTGAGAATAAAGTACACATTTTCTAAGGTGTGCCATTGAGATCCAAAGCCATAAAGGATCTGCTTATTTTTGGGTCGAGAAGTAAAAATAAAAATGTTGTTAAATGTCACCAGCTTTACAGAGTGAAGTTAGTCGAGATTTGAGAAAAGACAGTTACAAATATGTAAAAAAATGATTCTGAATCATTTATCTTATTCCAAAATATAGGAGATTTCGTTAATTTAAGCTTCTAAATTTGAGAATTGTAGGCGCTCTAACTACACATATGAGAGACATAGCTTCTATTTATAAAGGCATCTTTATTTGTTCATCCTGTACACCTTAATCTCATCAATATTTCATTTTGGCACAGATGGGTAAGTAACTGTGGTTCTCAAAGAGTTCAGATAATAAACAATATATCCCGATTGACATGAGGCGGATCTGTTATGATTAGGAATCGTAAGCAGAGTGAGCAATTCATCACAGCTCGAAGGTGAAATGAAGAATAAATGAGTCATTGCTATTAACACCACGCCTTTAGATCAGATTAAAGCACAGAATGATTCATTATTCATCATGGTTTTATTTCTGAAAAAACCTAGTATAAAATGCACTTATTGCATCAGATCACAGTGTAGTACTTGATACTTTTATTTTTATTATACGCTAATAACTCTGGTACTGATCAGAAACCTTTGTAATGAGGCCATGGGAACCATTTGTTGTTTAAATACAATACAATACAATACAGCTTTATTTATATAGCACTTTAAACCTCCAGACCAAAGTGCTGTACAGGCAAATAAACAAAACAAAACATACAAAAAGTAACACAGCTCAGCTCACACACCATAAAACAAGTACAAGTAAAAACAATAGACAATTTAAAAGCAATAAAAGCAATGCTCTAAAAGATGTTAATACGCTAAGGAGAAGAGGTGGGTTTTAAGAAGCGATTTAAAAACAGACAGTGTGGAGGCCTGTCTGATGTGCAGGGGCAGATCGTTCCACAGTGTGGGAGCCGCTACAGAGAAGCAACGGCCCCCGCCGCAGTAGAGGTCTCCATAACGGTCTTCTGGGGGGCATTAAGGACCAAATCAATAGTCTGAAACAGAACACGTGGCTTGTGACGGTTTGACAGAAAGATGTCAGATAAATGTTTGCTTTTTGCCTCTTTCACAGTGATCTGATAGAGATCAACACTCCCTCAACATTTGAAATGAAACTTGCAGTTTGTCCTTTTTCCATTTACGCTCAGCTCTACGGCAATCCCGTCGGACAGCCCGAGTCGTGTCATTTAACCAAGGCTCAGATTTAGTTTTAGGTTGCCTGGTTTTTAAAGGAGCAACAGTGTCTATGGCAGCTTTGCAAGTGGAGTGAAACCATGAGCTAAGCTCATCCGTTTCAGGTGACATAGGTTGCTGATTAACACAGTTCTGTTTAAAAGCGACACAGACTGCACAAGATTAAAGGAATCAACAAGGTTTAGAAAGTCCTTTGCCATAGGTTTGTCGGGACAACACACATGAATATTAAAATCCCCAACAATAAGAACACGGTCATATTTTGGCATAATTTCAGCCAAGAAATCCGAGAAATCATTTAGAAATCCCTTATTGTATTTGGGAGGTCTATTGACCACAGCACACAGCACTGTATGAGAGCGACCAAGCTCGAACACGCGCTGTTCAAAGCTGCCGGGTGAGAATGACAGTGAAAGTTGCTGGCATTTATAATCACTCTTAAAAACAGTTGCTATGCCTCCACCTCGGCCTGACGTCCGCGGAGAGTTAAATTAGCAGCAATGCTGCGGTACAAGTTTGGTAAACGCGCTGGACTCACCAATACTGAGCCATGTCTCAGTCACGAAGAGGAAACAAGAGAACTAACCTTCCCGGTCTTTCTAATTCAGTCCTTATTGAATATTCAACGCTTTGTATTTACGCTATAGAATAATGCTTTCTTTGCTGTGCCATTATTTAACATTTTAATAATAATATATATTTTATTTTAACTGTAGCATTTGACATTTAGTAAGCCTGAACTAGCAAGGGTTTGGCATTGTTGCTTGAGAAATGGCCTAAATGACTTTGTAGTAGCCAATTAGCACTCTATATTATATTGAAGTAGAAACCAACGTTTGTTTACTCAGGTTTCGCCGGAAAGTTAAGCAGTTTTTGACCATACACACCCCGACACACACACCTACTGCTGGGGTAAAGTTAGGCTACCTAAGTTAGGCCCCGGCTCCACGAGAACAAATACGGCAAAACGCATCGGAGTAACGCAAACGCAACCGCAAAAAACCTTCCGCCCACACGCAATATACACCGGATTGTGTCAAGCTCCACGAGACGGCTCCGTTTACATCCAACCGCTGGAAAAGCTGCAGTACATATGCCGAACCTGTCCGTGGCGCTGTAACTTCCTCCACAAAAGCAGCAACTTCCTCCACAAAAGCAGCGAAGAAGAATGGTTGTCATGGCTGCACTTCTGTTTATTCTCCGCGGTGGGGGCACATCCATGGGTGGGGGCCGAGGGAACCGCGCAGAGTTTTTCGCCGGTCAATGTGTGTTAAAGTTTAAATCTTCATGCTGTCTCATGCAGCAGCTGATCCAGTAAGTAAACCCGACAGTAAAAATAAACATATTTATAACTAGTTTAGGTAGTTTGAGAGGTAATTAAAATAGCTAAGGGTGATGATCTGACTTGAAGTGTGAGTTTTGCTCCCGCTGCTTCACAGCCGGAGGAGCTGCGTGTCTCCGTCCTGTCAGATTAGACTTCACTCGCGTTTATGTTCATATCGAGATAAAGATAAATAATCTGAATTCAGTGTGCAGTGTACTTTTGCGGAGGTGAGCAGCAGAGGTGGGGAGAGGCGGGGAGAGGCGGGGCTATGAAACGCATGACCGTATAGGCGACCCCACGGCCCCGTTGGACCCCCCAGAGCGCTCCGTTCCCAGATCTATCCACCTTTGGACCCGTTGTCGTTTGCGGGGTCTGTTTCTACGTTTCTGTTACGGCGTCGTCGAGCTTAAAGGGCTATACGCATGAGAAATATGCGGATTCAACCCGTTTTCGTCCTCGTGGAGCCTACGTCTGTGTGTGTTTAAAGTGTCATGACTTGTATGCTGATTAAAAGCTGATTCAAATTTAATGGACAACCGTATCTGGAGAAAAAAATGGGCCGAGTGTTCAATTGGAAACCTTTGTATAGGGATTTATTTTTCATTCAAGCTAAAGTGTGTTTCAGTCATGTGAACACAGCATCACCTCAGAGGCTTAATGCGTTGGCTTAGCCTCTACACTATTAAACAATTAGTTGTGGACCACTTCATTGTTTGTTTGGCTAATCCTGTGGCTGAATTCCTCCTGTAAGCATTGTCATTAAATAAACCTTTGTGTCAGTAAATATATGTTTCAATGGCATGATTAGTAATCTCAGTAAATTCATACTCATTCCCTGGCCATGAATTCTGTGCACCTGCACGACACACATAGATTCATCTGTGTGCTTAACTGGGTTTTTAAGTGCATGTAAACACAGATAATGGCTTTGGTTAAATGGAGTATGTTTTGTTCTTTGAATGGACCGCACCCACAACTCTGCATTTAAATCAGTGTCTGCAGCTAATCTCTTCTACTTTTCGATCAATCAACTTTATATTTAATGAGCTCATTTACCATAGGTTTGCTCAAGGTCATGGTTCCAGGGGATCACAGTTCAAGAAAAATGTGTTTTATTGACTGTTTTATACTGTCATTTGGCCTGCAAATCAACAATCAACAACAAGCTAAAGGCATTTCCGGATGTCGGTTAGAGTAGGAACAAGCCTTACCTACTGTAGTCTGCTGCACGTCACATTTTGGTCTTAGTGGTGGTTCAGAAACCAACATCCATGAAAAATGTAAACTCAATTTGAACCAGTACTTTTGCAAATGTATTACATAACTGATATGCTGTGATCTATTAAATCCTGTAATGTTGACCATAGGTAGGGCTGCTCGATTATGGCAAAAATCATAATCTCAATTATTTGGGTCAATAATTGATATCACGATTATTAAAAACGATTATCCATTTACTTTGAAAACATCCATTTATTGAAAACAAATTTAACAGTATGCTTTTAACAGTTGATTACCCTGAATTTAAAGTATAATTCAACTGAAAAACGAATTAAAAAAAAAATAATAAAAAAATAATAATAATAATAATTTAAAAGAAATAATCGTTTTATTTCGATTACGTTGTTTTCGTAATCGTTGCAAGCCAAAATCGTAATTGCGATTAAAATACGATTAATTGAGCAGCCCTAACCGTAGGTATAAAAAATCATGCACCCTATTTCTTTAACACCTTTCATACATGTGCTGCTTTTTCACCCTGTCTATAAAACGGTCTGTATGTATGATGAATGAGGTAGTGTGTTTATGAAACCTGCTGATTCAGCAAGTAGCTAAAGTGGGGGTGTTGCTGTTTTGGTGGTATGCGTCTCAGCCTTTAGTTTCTAGCCAGTTTTGTATAGATATTTTTCGAAGCTTAAGAGCTTTTTAAAGGCTTTTTAGGATGCTGGAAAAAAAGTCAAATGCAATTATAAAATCAGACTCCTGCATCCATGCACTGTATTGACCTAATCAAATAGTCTGCTAATTCGAGGTTTTATAATATGTTTTTCTTAATTACTTTTGCAGTGCGCTGTGTTGTAGCACTGATATACAGGGAGAGTTACGAGGTGTCCGAGGTGTTGTCATGCTTCGCCCCTCGAGCCGTCACTCTGACTGCGTAGACTGGATCCTTTTAGCCTTTCCCTGGAACACAGCCACTAGTGGAGGTTCCATACAGGAGAGGTGCTGTTTGTTGTTTGTGGCCAGTACTGGAGCTTTTTAGCTTTCACATGTACCAGAAAGTGTTACTGGGCTGGTGGATTGAATGATGACGTGCTTTAGTGAAGTAATTGTCTAACCATCTGTGAAAATGTGCAATTGGGTGTGTTGAGTAAGAAAGGGATGGAGGTCTTTATAAGCACAGTAGCTTCTCCTACTATAAGTTCAACTTAGGACATTGATATTAAGTCTCAGCCCTCTGAAATCATCGTCCAGCCCTTCTTTGTCTCTCCCGGGTTCCGTTGTTTTGTTATGAATGCCTCTTTGTATGTTGAGGATGATGTGTTTTTGAAGTCCCCATTTTCCGACATTCATTCCTCTTACCTGATGAGGCTAAAATGACAAACAACTGAGCGAAGTTTTTCCAAGAACCGTCTTCCGTCTCACTTTAATTTTACTCTTGTTCTCTCTGTCATAACTTGTCTAGTGTTGAATGACAAATCACCATGTGTAGTGCAGCATCACACAGATCTGTTTTGTCACTGTCTTACAGCGCACATATTACTCAATTTAAAGCATACCACAATGACCTTGTATGACTCTAACGTTGTACATTTTAAAGCCATTGACTAATTACCGCATCCTTTCTCTTAGGAAATGTCTCTTTTGAAGGATGTTCGCGCCCTGCAGGTTATCCCCGGTGAGCTGGTGAAGCCCTTCAAGTCCAACTTCCCCTCTCGTCTGGCTCAGAGTCGGGCCGAGCTGCTCGAGAAGCTTCTCGCTGAACTGGGCACAGAGAACTCCGGCTTCACCTTGGACAATGTCATGATGGTAAAAAAAGCCTTAATCATGTTAAATGCATCTATACATTATCTTTTTTTTATAGTGATATTGACATCATTTACAATATACTGTAAATGATTTCATTCTGGAAGCCAGGAATGGCTGTGGTTGCTATTATGTGTTACCTGTTACCCACAGTTTTTTCAGTATAAATCTAAAGGATACCATACAATATAATAAAAGTTAAAGGGCCCATGTCATGCTTTTCCGGTTATTACCCGCCCCCTTGTGTGTTATGAAGGTTTTTATGCATGTAAACAGTCTGCAGAGTCAAAAACCAGAAAAGACCCATTCTCACAGCGTTATAAACCTTTTTCTTACTCAATATCAAGCCACACTTATTGTTTTTACTTCGGCTGTGAGTGTTTGTGTGTGCTCAGGATGAGTTTCGCTTGTTCTCGCTGTATCGCCGACCCGGAAACCTGTCCGCTCCTCGCAGCAGCTCACATCAGCGGCAAGCAGCAACGAGCCTCGCAACGTCCCGACCAATCAGAGCACACTGGGCTCACAGGGAGGGGGGGGCAGGAGCTCCAACAAGCCGTTTAGGACAGAGAGTGAATACCTGGTGAATACACATACTTTACAGAGATGCTGTATGAGAAACCAATGTGAGTTTGGAAAATTGCACAGTATAAATCTATTTTAGTATACCTCAACAATGGAATTATGATCAGTAGAAATGGCCATGACATGGGACCTTTAAATGGATATGTGTTCAAAGCTAAGGCCATTCGGCAAAACTTTATTTGGTTTGTCACTACTTCAAAAATAATGACTTATTATTGTTTATTCATTTAGTTTGTGTATTTGTATTTGTGACAGAACTAAACTAACTATCTCGTAATCTTGAGAAATCAAGGTTTTTATAGCCTCAGAAACCAAATTTAGAAAGGTTGACCCCCAACGTCTCATAAAGATAAAGCAAAGAAAGTTTCAATTTTATTGAGGTTAAAAAGAACTTCAACCATAGCAGCTATCAGCTGCCATACTCTGAGATTTTTTGGGACACTGTAACCTTTTGAAGGGATTTTAGATCTGTAAAATATGTTTAAAATGTCAACATAAGCATATAGTATTTATATATATATATATATGTGTCTTTTTCAGTTACGACTGTTTCCAATCTGAAAATAGCAATTACAACATATCCTCTATAACAAGATAACACATATTCTTTATAGAATTCCGTATAGTATAATGCCTGTATTATTCCACTTTAAAAGCAGGATTCCATCAAACTGTTTCCGTTACATTTGGCTCAGTAATTAAAGAGTGACTGTGTACTCCCTTCCGGGGTTTCTTCAGTTCACCCAAACAGGCTGTCAGTGAGCTCCAGTCAGCTGAGTCAATGTTGTCACCGTTGGCATCCGCTCTCGGTCCCCCTGCACTCGGTTTCCAGCAGTGACCTAATATCTACGTGCAAACTAACTGTTGACCAGTCTCCTCTGTTTTACGGCGGCTCCTCCACCCTTCCCCCCCTTCCCCTTCAGCCCTCCTCTTGACCCCTGCACATCTTTTATCAACAAGAGCAAATTGTTAGGTTTGTCCACCGAGTTTCTCCGGCTTCCCTGAAGACACACAGGTGGAATTGGATGGCCTGTGTTTGCATGTTTGTGCATGCTTGCTCTGCGCCTGTCCCTTTTGTGTTGGCTGTCTCCCTTGTTTGCCTGGGAAACATTTTCAGTCTGGAATTGAGACGTGACAGCCGGGCCGTGCCTTATTTAACAGCTTGGCTTCTTTTTTTCCTGCTGGTTGTCACATTGAAACATCTTGATGGGAAACATGTAAGATTTAGACTGAACACTGTTGCAATAATAACCGAGCAACAAGCAATGTGGCTTGTAATTTGAAAGTACAGAAAGTGTAAGGCAACTACTTAAGACATATGCTGACCCAATAACAGTGGCTATCCCTATCCTATCCTACAGCACCTCAATCAGGCATGTCTGCTTGAGAGTGGACAAAAAATAAGTTTCCCTGCAGAATAAAGATATACTACGTTGCTAGTGAGGGAGGACGAGCTAACAATTAAATCGTCCCTTCAAAATGTAACAACTATGTATGTACGTCTATACAAAGTTAACTCAAACAAACAGCCAGACTCTTGATAAATTATCCTTAAATCACAGGTTAATCCTCTGTATCTGCCTCTTTTAGCCTTCCACAGTGTTAGCTCGGCTATATTTTGAGCATTTTTCCTTTTCTCACCCTGCTGTTACCTGGGTGATCGTCTCCAAAGCGGGAGCCTGGGTGAATACAGAGGGCGATTGAATTTCCTGTAATTAAAATGAGAAGCGGAGGGCAGAGACAACAGAGAATAATGGCGAGCTGTCCCTGAGCCGGTTGAGCGAGGGACGGGTGGCCTTTATACACGGTTTACTTTCTGGATGTTAATGTTCTTCACTGGCTGGATTGCCATTGTGTTGCGGCCCTCTTCACACAGATTACGTCGCATATAGGACTCTTCCTACGTCATGATGCGAACCCCGCTCAAAGGACGTCTTCAGCAATGTAACGTGCATGAAGCTAGACTGTAAATATTGCTTTTTTTAACTTGGACTTTTATCTGTTAAAATAGCAAGCCCTGGGTATTTTTCCTTGCCTGCTTTGTTGCCCCAGCATACTGGAGGTGGGACAAAGAAAGGCAAGTTCTATTGTATAGCGCCTTTACAACACATGATACAACTCAAACTGCGTCACACAAGGCAAATAAATGAATAAGAATAACATTTGAAAACAGAATAAAGACATTATAATTCACATAAGTTCAAATAGAAACTGGTTCAATGCAGTTGAGTGGGTCCAACAATGTCCTCAAAGTTCAAGAACAATTTGAATTTTTTGTTGTAATAGTAACAAAGGTTGGACCACCTCATAGCACGTCATGTTTTACGAATAAAATTAGGTTATACAGGAAATCAGACAAAGAGATTACATGCACTGTGATAGTGGGATTACTGTTAGCATTTGGTATGTGAGTATAAAGGGAACTAGAGACAGCAATGTAATACTAAGAAGGTTGCTCAATAGGGCATGAAGTAAAATATTTGAGAGCCAGGTTTAAAATGGCCCGCATCTCAACATAATTTAAAGGGGACCTATCATGCAAAATGCACTTTTGTACGTCTTTTATACATGAATATGTGTCCCCGGTATTCCAGGGAACTCACCAAGTGTCAGAAAACACAACCCTCTCTATTTTCCTCCATACCCAAATCTCTAAAAAAGGGTCTGCAACGGATCTGATAAAAACTGATCCAGATTTGAACACTGTCCTGACGTCAGGACAGTGGCGCTACGGCTATTGGGCCAACTCCACCAATCAGGAGGAGACAGCCACGGCCATTGCCGTTCGAAAGCGCTGGAGACGCTGAAGTACATATGCCAGGCCTGTAGATGGTGCTGTTCTCACAGAATCTGCCCAGAGCTAGAAATTGTCAAATTGAACAAAATGAGGCATGGCTAAAATGCATGATCTGTTTGGTATTTTGAAGAAAAAAAAAGTATAAATATGCCTTATATGGTCCTACACTATATTCTTCAAATATAGCATGATAGGTCCACTTTAAATAATGGCTTTTAATTGCTCGAACTGGGAAGTTGATGTACTTCAAAGAAAATTAGCTGGTTTACAGACTTTCAAGATGTAAGTCAACGGGAAAAAGTATTTCTGTGTGCTTGATGGGCCTGTGAGTTGTAACTACACGGTTTGGCCACTATGTCAAATTTACTTCAAAGTCCGGTGCTGTTACTGTATCTAGTTTTGTTTTTTACATCCACATGTAAGCTATAGTCGGTCAGTAAACAGCAATCACACAGATCACATTATTTCCTTATCACCTTCAAGTGCATTTTACAAATAGTCTAATGTTGAGCCCCAGCAATCAACTTTCAGGTAAAAAATGTGTAGGAAATGTAGAATATATGGGGCACCGCTTTGCATTCCGCTGTTTTTACATGAATACAAGTACATTTTTCATACAACGTGAACGCAGTCCCAAAGGTTTTCATCTAAAAAAAATAAAAATGAAATCTCTGTTTTGAATAAGGGGTCACTGTTAAGCAGGTCAAACTAAAGCTGAACTGGCTGTACCATATGCTTAAAAGTACTATCCAGTCAATCAAAAATGTGTTCTCAATGTTTCCATGTTAATAGAAAGCCCTGTTTTCCCTTCTCAGTTCTGTACAGCAGCTTTGGAACACAATGCGTCAGCAGTACGAGAGCTGGCGGTGCGCATCATCTTGTCCATGTACCAGCAGCACAGAGCCGCTGTTCTCCGCTTCCTTCCACCCAACTCTGCTGCTGCGCGGAAGAACTTCCTCTTCAAAACCCTCTTTGAAGGCTTCGCCAAGATTGATGGGAAGCTGGTGGAGACTCAGGCAAGAAGTGTTTTTTTAAACAGCAGATTCATTTCTTTATTGATACTTAACAGCTACTTGATTTGCTAAAGAAAGAAATGGCTGAAATGTACTTTTTGTAGATTAACAAAATGTGTTCAGACAGTTTTTCAAACAGATTGCTGTCAGCGAGGAGCAGCTGGTAGATGGACAGTGAAACTGTCAGACATGGCAGATGGGAGCACTCTGCCGAGCTGGAAAGGGTTGAATTTTTTTTCAAGGAGACTGCATGACGTCACGTTTTTTTCTTTTTTCAAGGCAGTAAAAGAGTTTCATGTTGCACAGACAGCAAGCTGCCTCTGCTGCTTCCTCTGCCAAACACAGCACAGGCTGTCTGTCCTTCACTGGTTAAACATATTAGATCCATGCATGGTATTATTAAGATATCTATTTGCCATTTTTTCCCAATTTTTGTGTCTTTCTGTAAGGCTACAATAGCAAAAAACCTGTCTGACTAGTTTCTTTTGTCAAAATGTAGAAAGGATGTTAGCTGTCACCATAAACACAGCCAGTAAACAAGTCTCGCCTTTCAAGTTCATATGGTGCAATGATGCTTTACCGTAAAGTTTTTGACAGTGACCAAGTCTAATTTCTTACCGGCAGTACTGAAGACTTAACCACCCTATAACGTAATGGAGTTAACTGTCTGCCAAGCATTCAAGAACATAATTAAATGAAAGCTGGTAAAGTCTGTGATCTTGAAATTATCTTAACATAAATAAACAGAAGTAAGAAAAATGAAACTGACTCTATACTCACTTCTCCCTCAGACTTTGAAGAAGGGAGGTGGTCAGCAGGATGGACAAAAGGAGAAAGAGGAGATCCACTCCCTTCAGGAGCAGCTGGCTGCCTTGAAAGAGATCACAGTAGGTGGAGCTGTCATCAGACTGCACTTCTTGTAATGGCTACTAATTAGTATTTATGACTCCAGTAGAGTTTGAACTCACTTGGTGGTCAGAAACTCAATTATTCCTGTGAACAGATAACATCAGCAGTACATTAAATCCTCTTGAGAGTGTTATCTACAAAGGCCTGAAGTTGTGTTAAGCTTTTTTTCTGTGATAGGTACTTTTGGTAACTGTGGTCTCTGACTTCACTTTCTCCTTCTCCATCTGCTTGTAAAGGAGAGACGGGAGGAAAGCACCAAAGACGAAATTCCTGATGAAGAAGCTCCCAAAGTCGAATCCAAAAAAGCTGTCAAAACAAGTATGTAAACATTTTTAACTAGAAAGGAGCAGAGCAAAGGATTTCAGATCCTAAATCACATTAAATATATTATTCACTAGAGTAAAAACATCGTTAAATACTCAACACCAACAGGTCTGGATTAGATGTTTCAAAGCACAATGTTATTTTGCTTTAAGATATTGGTAGATAGAAAATTGTTAGTATAGAAATGCAAAACAAATCCAAATAATTTCCCATTTTCAAAAGGTATAAGCTTGTACATACTAGTATGTAAGGGCCCTTAAAGCATCTACTTTTGTTTCCAGTTGCCAAGCAACATTGCTCTTTAGAGTTTAACCACTTCAACTCCAAGTGTGGTGCTCTATAACAGAAACAAAAGCTCCATTTGTAGGCACTAACAATATCGTTTGCATGACTATGCCAGCCATCTCTACTATTAACCTATAGATCCACCACAATCAGCAAAAACGGAAACGAAGTATAAATAGATTTTGCTGCTCATAAGTGTAATTTCAATGACAAAAAAAATCTTGTTTTTAGCTAGTAGTTTAGTGTTGGTGATGTAGTAGGCCTTGGTTCCCCAGACTATTAGGCTGTTGTACAATTAAAACTACGTTACTAAGAAGCAAAGGCGAGGGTTTAATTGACATGTAAAAGCTTAAAAATTCACAAGTGGGGAATTTACTGGCATTTTTTTATGCTGTAATACAAAATGTTAAACCAAAGACTATATTTAAAGAGCCAAACCACAATTAAAAGAAAACCCTTTGACTTTGAGATCAGGAAAAAGGGAAACGACGAAGTAATAACTAATTTTGGGATTAAGGAATTATTCGTGCAGTCACCCGTCCATCATATTTTCAAAGCTTAACATGAGGGTTCTATCAAAGCGAAACATACAGATCTCTTTTAACAAAATGATACACGTTACTACTCTGAAATCAGTCAATCCCATTTTTGAGTGCTGGATTTCTTTGGTCTGATGCTTTAACGAGGGGCCCTCGATATCTAATACTATCTTCTTAATTTCCAGCTGTCACAAAAGTGCCGCAAAACAAGGAATCAGACAGTATTGATGTCCAACAATCTATCAACTACCTGGACAAGTAAGTGACTCATAATTCAATGGAGACCTTAAAACAAATCACGGAAATCATAGAAAGATGCAAAAACTGATTTTACAGGTTAAGTGATTTCACAGGCAATCTATTTTTCTAGCTCAGGTGTTTCATTTAGTGTAATATTTATGGCAGCAACAAATAGTCTGAACTGCAACCTGGTCTTATATTTCAGCCTGTGTATATTCTGCGGTAAAAAGGACGAGTCCTTCACAGAGGATGGATTGGACCTTCATTACTGGAAACACTGTCCGATGCTGAGACGCTGCGATGAATGTAGACAGGTAAGATAATACATACAATACGATACGATATGATATACTTTATTGTCCCCGTAAGGACATTTGTTCTGGAGTTCCGCATACATGTACATATACAAACATAATAAACATTAAAATACATACAAATATCATCACTCATGCACCGTTTGCACAAACACAATACACAGATGCACATACTGACAATGGCGACCTTTTGCACAACCCTCATGGCCAACATTTAAAAGTATATAACATTAGATGTGAGTGTTAAGAAGCTTAATGGACATAGGCAGGAATGAGTGCTTATAGCAATTTGTTGTGGCTGTCTAAGATAATAAGATACGATTTACTTTATTAATCCCAATTTGGGAAATTGTTTTGTTGCAGCAGCATAAAACTAAACAAGGCATTGCACATAATAACAAATTAAAAGAGTAGAAATAAACAATTCAAAAATATAAACATCTCTAAATAGAAATAGAAATAAACCAGCATTAGAGAGTAAGAAAATATACAGATGACCGTGAAGATAAAAAATCTATAAACTGTCTGACAAATAAAAACACTATTGAAGGGCCAATTAAATTATTAAAATGAGGTACACTGGAACGTTTTTAAAACTTTTGGCATGTATTTAGTCGTCTTGAAAGAAGGACTCTGTTCATTAAGCAGCTCAGTAACAAATCATTGTGTCCATAGGTAGTTGAGATAGCCAGCCTCACAGAGCACCTGCTGGGTGAATGTGAAAGCAGGTCCAGGTTCAGCCAGTGCCCGCGCTGCTCTGAGGCCGTGGCCCCCGAAGATCTCACTCGCCACGTCCAGGGTCCCGCCTGCAATGGTGAGTTCTCAGTCTCACTCTTTCAATTTCTCAACCTTCCTATGTATGATTGAATGATTGAATTTAATTGTGTATTAATTTGTTTTTAATACATCGTTGTCTTTGTTATTTTTATTGGGGGAGGCATGTTAGTTTGACATGCACACTAGCCCATCAGGACAACCAGGATTTGTAGTTTTCTTTGATGAAAAAAAGGGTAACTCTATATGAGGATGAAAATGGCTTCATCAAAGCTACTAGATAAAACCCAAATAACTAAATAACTAAACAAATATGGCTTAACTGTGGCAATGGGCAACAGTCTCTGCCAGAATAAGTTGCAACTTTATAAACATATATATTAAGAACAATATTTAATGGAACCATTAATCGTTAAACAGAAAAAGGTGTCATATTGTCTTCCCAAAAGCTATGGTCAGCAGTCATAGGCCCCATTTACACGGGAACGCAAACAAAAATGAACCAAATTCGATATCAAAAAAGTCTTCCGTTCACACGCAATCGGCTCAATTAACGTGTCCGTTCACACGAGACCGCTCGACCCGCTGGAGACGCTGTAGTACATATGCCGGGCCTGTAAGTAGCGCTGTACTTCTGCCACAAAATACACCAAAAGCAGTTAAAAATTAGAAAAGTGCCGGTCAAAGGTCTTCTTTGTTATTTATTGAGCTTTAAAACAAATTAATAACGACTCTTTATAATAATATAAGAATAATACATGGAGCCTCTCTTTTCCTCCTCCTCTCCTGCGTGTCTCCGCAGCAGCTGATCTCTGATCTCTCTCTCCTGTCCGATTAGACTTCACTCGCGTTTATGTCCATATCGATCAAATCTAGCTGGAGGCTCCTGCTGGGTGCACTGTAGCAGATACAATCGTTCCCGTGTAAACAGCGCCATAGTCAAATTTTTACCTAGCAAACACAGAAGAAATACCACCCTTTTTTGAAGGTCACTTCACCAATTTGCACCAATTTAACATATTTGTGTTTTCCCAAAAAGTTGGTTTAAGAATTTGCAAATTTAGAATCTAGTAACATTAACAAAAGCAAAAGTCTGGGACAAAGGGCTGAATTCAATGCAGTGACATTACAGATGGTGTTAACATCATATAGTTCCTCAATTTCAAGAGGCTGAGTTTATAATACAACATCTATAATAAATGTATCATATCGAAATATTTAGGCCAGAAAATGACAGCGTGAAGCAGTAACCTAGTATTTTTACTTGCAACGCTCTGTCAAGCCTGTACCGTAGCCAGCTGCACATCTTGCTTGTTTTTTTTTAGGGGGGGGAGAGAAACACATGCTCAGTTCAACTGAGGACAGGTCAGTGGCTAGCCCTTTCTAAAAGAGCCTACAGTTTGGCCTAAAAAATATTTCAAATCCTTAAAAAAGTATATTAGAGTCTTAAGATCATTGAAGCTAGAGGCTATTTAACCGCTAACATGCTACTGCCACTGTAGCCTGTCAAGTTAGCTGGCTTGGTAACTGTTAGTTAGCCCAGTCGCTAGCCGTACACTAAGTTTAGGTTATACAAGAGAGGTTTTTAAAAATGTGACTACTATCATAGGACTGAATGCAAGCAATTGCTCTATTTTGAAGCAGTTTAAATCAGAGTTATATAAAACTCATTATGTAAATGTTGGCCCAGATAATATGAAAACGTCCTCCTTCGTTGACCCTTTGGCTCTCAGTTCCCTAAAAAGGTAAGCTCTGTCAAGACGCTTTAATATTCAACTCATCTCACAAATTCACGTGATCTTAATAATTCCACTCAAATGAATCGATTTCAACAAATTCTGGTTTGACCTGCACTTGGTTTATTTATTTGGTTTAACTTTATAAATAGTCATACTCTGGCATACAGCACATCTGTGGTCACAATACATCGCTTATAAGACATAAAAAATGTGCTTTATGTTTATTTTGCTGCACATAGCCTTTAATAAATCAAAAGTCTGTACTTATCCATAGTGTTGGTTGGTTTCAGTACATTTTCTGTAAACTACCAGCCAGTATTTACCATCTGAAAGCTGAGGTCAGCTTTAGGTTATTTTGGTGGTTTGGTTCCTGCTGGAAGGTGTAGTTTACTGACATCTGTACCAACTCACCTTAAGAAACAGGGCCTACTGTGGCAAAACGTACATGTCTGTGACCGACTATATGTCTCCACAGATAATTGACACAATTATTAAGTTTGTTTTACCATAACCTTCAAGTCTCTCTTACCCCTGTTAGGTTGGGTTCCCATTGGGTGAAATTTGAATTGTGAGATAGGGTTGGCTTGCATTCCCATTCCTTAAAGTAGTATTGTAGTTAAAGATTTTCTCCTTCAGTGGTGTTATTTCATCATTCTGGCTGGTGTGTTTAGGGTAGCTTTTGTGTAATGGTATACAACAGGTGGGTTAAAGGTGTTGTGTTTCTTTTTCAGCCCCCATCTCGGGTAAAGGCTCCAACCACTGTCCTTTGTGTCATAACAACTTCATTCCTGGAGAGAAGGTAAGATTCTTTAGATTTCACCAGGAAACACTCGGTGTCACTTACATCTCTGTTCTATATTTCCTTTGTGAAGCAATGATGGGCTTAAAGACAATTATAAACTGAAGTATAGCATGTGTTGTTAGCAACAAATAGGTGTTAGGTGGAACAGGTGTGTCCCTTCACTGAACCAAAAATGTGAATTTTGCATGACAGTTATGCTTTGCCATTTTCTGCTAGATAATGATGGGGTAACCCCAGTTGAGATTAAAGGAGTACTTCACCCACCAAATAATAATTTGTAATGAGTTACTCACCCCATGTTATCTTGAATTTGTGTAGAAATCTGAACCGAAAATCCAAGAACATAAAAAAATCGTAATAAATCCAAATTAATGGGAGACATGTTTATTAATTGCAGAACTATATTAAAACATTCGATGTTAACAAACTCATGCGCTACTTGTATTCTGGTTGGTATTGCTTTTGTTAAGCGCGGCCACCATTTACTTCAATTCCTCACAAGTTTTTGGATTCTCTGTTCACTGTGAAACGCACGAGAAAAACACGTTTTCTTCAAGAATTCAAGGTTACACAGTGACTAATTGATAATCAAGTGCTGATTTTGGGTTTGAAGTTTTTGCTTCTTGGTTTTTCACATCATTTTGGCCTGAACTTCACTCAAGGAGCTTTTCCATTTTCCCTCTTTTATATCAACACTGAAATTCTAAAAAGCATCTAATATTAGGCTTGAGGAGCAAACAGGTGTTGAGGTAAAACACTGCTATTGTTGGCCTCTAAAGACTTCAAAGGGGGCAGAGCCTTTGTTCTTAATGGGCTGTTTCATTTGTCCAAAGATCAGGTAGATACCATCACATTCTTCACATTCCTATTAGGTTGAGAGGAAGTCAGAAAGACAAAAATAATCCTGATAAATTATTGACATATTTGTATTTTTGATAGCCATGCTTTCCTTAAATATTTTTGTGTATATTTTTTGTATATTTTGGTGCTTGGGGATAATGCAGTTATTTTGGTACAAATAAAAAAAGTGAATTGTTATATTGTTGAAAACTTGGAAAAGTTCAGGTTTCCTTTGGGTTTCCTGCTTATGCGACTTGCTGCTTTGTATAATGTGGGCAATGTTTGATCTGTAACAGGAAAAGTTTATACATATTTACTGGAAATCTTATTTAAATATTAAACAACTGATAGTACGAATCAACAAGGAAATGGGATAAAAAAAGTATTAACTCAAGCGATAGTAGCATACACTGAATGTAACCTCAAGGTTAATTATTACAAAACAGTTAATGAGTTTGCTCTTATTTTAAGTTAGTAAACAGTGCTCGTATGTCATAAGCCTTGGTGTTGCTCATCCATTAAGAACCCTTGTTGTATGTTCACTTTTTGTGTGATAGAGAAGTTTACAATGGATATTAAGTGCACAAGTTTCTCTGCCTCACTAAAAGATGTAACAACAGTGCGGCCTTTCATTTGTCTTCTATTACGTTTGTGTCATCTGGGAAGCTCATGAATCATGCAGTGTGTCTTTGAAGGAGGCACAAGAGCTACAGGTATTAGTCTGACCAACAGCACCTGCCCTGTCCTGACCTCGCCTGTCCTTGTTTCCAGCAGCACTTTGGAAATTAAACCTCTGGACAAACCTCTATTATAAGAAGTCCAAATTGGTAGATAAAACCTCAGACTTCAGTTAGACATGTCCAGGTCTTGTAAGACAAGTGTAATCCATTCAGTGTTAATGATCTCTTTAAATCAATTTTGAAGACCAAAATATTGTTCAAATTATGCAAAGTCTCTGCCTACATTGGTGACGAACACAACAAATACCAATAGTATACTAATTGGAGACCCTGTAATTGGTATGAGTACGCCTGTTTAGATTAGCTTGATAGGTTGATATTTATTACTTAATACTTATTTATACTCTTGAATATATGGTACATTTATTATCTGCCTTGAAAAAGTGTGCCCGATAAACTATCAAGTAACTAGAAGGGCACTCGTATAAATACCTCCACCAAGGTTTAATTTCCTAACTCGCAATGTTAACAAATAATAAAATACGCGTATCCGCACTGTGATCCGGATCCACCTCAAACTGTAATGGGTTCTTCCTTGGCCCATACACCCTTTACTGAAAGGATATGTAGTTTATTTCCGTAATCCTGCTGACAAACAGAGAAACCAACAAACTAAACCAAAAACATAACCTAAAAGTAAAAATGATCTGTTGACAATAATCTCTTTCCACAAAAATGGGTTTGGAATGAATCTGAAATGGCAGAAGCACTATAAGAAGTAGACATCAGTGATGTCATCGCAGGTGCGTTCGTATTGCCAGCTGATTGGAAACATCTGGTGAAACGTACTGATTGGGGGTGTGGCCAGATGTAAATCATGCTTAAAGGTCTATACAAATACAGTATATTTGATTTAGAGTGAAATCTGCCTATTTCACAGCAGACAATTCCAGTTGGAGCCATGGAAAACATTGCCATTGCCACAAAACATGCAGCCTTAATTAATTATATTAATCACACCTGTGTTGTTGCTGTTGTGACACACAGTGTCCGCAGTGAAAAATGCTTATTGTCCTTTGTTACTGTGATTAGTATAACTGTGGGTCAACGTCAACATTTTGGGGAAAAATACGTAATTAATGAACAAAAGTGATCATTATACAACATGGTGGCAGTTTTAAGTCAGTTACCGTTAAACCATTTTATTGGTGTCCAAGTGGGATAAGTAATAAGCAATTTGAGTTTATGCCAAATGAAAAGTGACTTATTATTCAATTCTAGTTGCATTTTGTATTCAAAATCTGATTGACTTTGAAAACCTCTCACACCATTAAAAACAAATAAAGAAAAAACTCACAGAAAGTCACACTCAGTGCCAGAGTTGTGCGTATGCAGCCAATGAAAGGCTTTAGTGTTAGTGGGAGGGAGGGCAGCCATTGGGGTCTTGACTGGGCCCACAGTCACATGTTGCTGTCCCGATCGAGAAAGTACCTGGGAGAGGAACGAAATCACTGAGCTACTTTTGTCCCTGTTCCAGGCCTGGAAGGCTCACCTCATGGGCAGGGAGGGCTGCAAACAAAACTCACGCAGGACTGCGGTGTCCCAGAGAACCCAGCCAGCACAAGGTAAAGCATTCATAACACCCCCTGCGTACACCCACCTCCCTAACGCTCAATGTGAACGCTATACAGAGTGCCCATGCTTGTTGGTAAAAATGTCATGTTACAGCTTTTCCACTATGATTTCCTGCCACAAAGCACAGAATGAAGCACATACAAATAGTGACAGGTTTAATATGAAAACTAGTGTAGTGGGTGTTCCTCTTTGATTGATATTTTCAAATTGTTAATGTGTTAATGATCGAAACATCGAGTGGCTTTTTGTACAGTTGTATGAGGCCCAATGCACATTATTTTTGAAAGCAACGTCTCATTACAATAATAACCACCTTGATGCCAGAGTGACAGTTGGGCTTAAAAAACCACCCACAGTAGAGAACCACTGCAGAATATATTTAAGTTAACCCTAACCCTACGATTTAAGGTGTGTAACATGTGAAACCCAATTTAATGTACTATTTATGGTTTCAGCAGTAACTATTTAGTGTATTTGCATTCCGTAGTTTGCTTCTCTATATAGTATTCATTACTGGTGAAGTACTTGACCCAAGGTTTACAGGAAATGATGTGTGCACTTACTCGACATGATGCAGGAGACTAAAGCCCATGGGTAGAGTTACCGTTGGGAAACATTTATTTTTGTTCTCTTTTTATTACAACAACATGTGCCTTGAATCCCCATGATTTTTTCATCTTCACAGATTCACTATTTCACAGCAGACATTTTGACTTTAACCAAAGCATAGGTGTTACCAGTGATGGAAGAAGTACTTATATCCTTTACTTAAAGTAGAAATACCATAGTCGCAAAGTACTCCTAAATTAAAGTCCTGAATTCAAAAAGGTAAAAGCCCAGAAGTATTAAACTTTTTTTTTTAAATTATCATTAATAGAGAATATGATTTTTTTTGAAGATCATATGTAAGAACAATTTAATCTTGTATTATTAGCCAGTTTTAGATGTGAATTTCAGCTAGTTTGAATACTACTGTGAAAATGAATAGTGCCTTAATACCTCATCATATAAGCTTTAGCTATAATGTTTTTATGTGTTTACTATACTAACTATATAGAACAACATAAAATGGAAACACTCAAGGAAAGTAAAAGTATGTCATAATTGTACATAGGTACAGTACTTAAGCAATTGTACTTAGTTACATTACGTGACAGGTGTTGCTAATTACACTAATGACGGCTTTTTAATCGTATCTTAATTGCAAACAGGCGTCATTACTATCATTATTTACACCTGTGCTTTACCTAATATGACGAGTCAAAATGTCTTCAGTTAAAAGTGCTCATCTTCTGTTGCCTATGTAAAAGAGTAGAAGCTTTCATGGTGTCATTTTTTGCCCCCAGTGGTGGCTTTACATGCCATAGTGAAGTGAATTCTGCAAGCTGTATTAATTAAATAGACCAGCCGTAACCACAGGCAACTGGCATTGCTGCCATATCAACAGAAATATTTAAGAGTATAACTTTAAGCAAGTTCGATGACAATGGGTAGGACCCAGACTAGGTCAGAAGAGCAGGAGGGCAGTTCCTGGAGCATGACCCTTAACATCAGGGGTGCCATGAGGCACCATAATGAGCCCCCTGACATACGGATACTGAAAACGTTTCAAAAAAGTTAATCCAATTATCCATTGACTGATTTGATACTGCATGAAAGGTGATATTCCAAATGGATAATGGCTTACAAGTTAACTTTTTCAGGGATTTTCCCTGGAAATAGTTTGTAAAAGGTGGTAAGCCACTCAGATCGTGACACATCTTGTACATGTTATTTCCTTTCTGCTGTTTACACTATGCAGCTAATATACAATAAATATCTTGTTCAATACAAATCTTTTAAAAAGTAAATTATTTCCGTCATTCTATAAATTGAACACAAAAAGTACAAATGCAGAAATATGTAGTTGCGTTTAAAAGTTTACTTACTCCGTTTTAACTATCAAAAATAAATCGGACAGTCCAACATTTGAGGCACTTGCAATGCTCGATAGTAAAGTAAATGCAAAGAAACAATATATTGCATCAGGGTTGGTGTGAAGGTATATAACCACAATCTGCTGATGTCATGAATCCTTCCTGTTTATACATACATCACAGCTAATGCAGTCTGCTGTGTTTAGTGGTAAATAGAACAGAGGAACAAAGGAGCATTCATATAGAGGAACCCCCCTCTTTATGGATGTTCCTTTACAGGTTTACTGTACAGATATGTGTTGTGTGTGTCCAGGCAGGCCTGGTGGTGGAGCCAAGATGAAGCATGCGTGGTCGGTAGGGGCCAGAGGCAGAGCCATGGGCAGAGGCAGCCGGATCCCAGCACTGGCACCAATGGCCAGAGGAAGTACACCAGGGAAGCACTGACACTGGAGCACCCTGGGGAGGCCCCCAGCAGCAACACACAGCCCTGTAGGAAACTACTCAAACATTTCCTGCTCCCATGATAGCTTTCACATCTTTTGACCAAAATTACAGCATGTCGTTCGCTGTATTTGCTCTGTTTCCAGTCCTACTTAGGATTAGGGTTAGGGTTAGTCCACCTGGAATCACCATCATAAGACCTGTTATTTTGTCTACACGTCATCCCCTAGCGTCACACACCTGTCGGGCTAGTAAACATGTGCAGACTGCGTTCTGTTTGCCGATATCACCTTACAGGTTGTTTTTTTTGGGTCTAATTTTGTTCAAACTGCTGACTGGTTGGGAGCCAACCCCAGTTGGAAATGATACAACTAGAAGGCGTCACCCGTTACTCTGGTATTGTACTTGCTTTAAGTTTCTTGATGACTCATAAGAGACAGATACAACAAAATATCTTGACATTTTGTGCCTAATGGCATCTCGGGGCTGACATAACCCTGATGACTCACTGTGACATCTTCAGGGTTATTCATTTTTGAGTTAGTTAACTAACCGTTCTTCACAAGCTATCCAATGCCGCTATAAAGGAAAACATTTTATTGTGAAAATAGTCAAAATGGGCACAAAAAGAACAAAATCAGCATTGAATTTTAAATTATATTTGGACCACAAACGTTAATCAGTGTAGTAATGCTACATATGTAGTACATCTTGACAGGGCACAGTGACAGTAAATGATACTTAAAACACGCCTCTCCGTGAAGCAGTAATGTGAGAAGACGAGGAATAAAAACGTTCCTCCCTTGGCAACACGTCAGAATCCTCCCTGACAACCTGAGTGCAGCTTTACTGTGAGCTTTGTACTTACATTTTCACTTATTGACGTGTATATCGAAAGAATAATATGAAATAGCACTTTGCCAAAGGGATGGTACTGAATCTTCAGTACAGGTTGAACTTAATTTATTATTCCTGTTTAATTCCTACTGACAATCTTAAGTAGATAGCACAATTTAATATGCTGTACTAGTTGAGTAAGAGACTAAGTAGAGCTTTTAACGTAACAGAATTATTAAAAAGGAAAACACACAATGGACATGAATGTACAGTCAATAGTAGAATCTGTGTAGCAGCTCTTTTTAGTGTATTTTTGCTAATTTTACCCACAAACTCAACATTTAAACAGCTTATATTGTACCGCACAGTGTTATGACGATGGTGATTGTAATATGTCTGTGTTAATCCTCAGCCAAGAATAACTAACACAGAAACTTCGGTAAAACAGTCCAAGGTGTCTTTGAAAGATTGTATTACGAGCAGGGGAAGTTCTTCATTAATGTGTGTGATTAGACTTACTGTTAAATAAGTTATAGGTATAAGAAAGTTTATTTTTGATTTCCTAATCCATCACATTGGCTTTTATATGTTTCTGTATTGAGGACTTTTGCAACAGTGGATATTTTTGATGTGCTTTTATGTGCATAGTCATTGTTTTATGAATAATTATGGCATGAAATGGCAATTTCTTTCTGCAAAGTATCTGTATTTGTTTAAATAAAGCTACATTTAGCATAACATTGCAGATTTGGTTTCACTTGACAAAACATTTCTGACACTATTGTACATTTGAAATCCAAATTTCCCCCCAGATAATCAGCATTTTCATGTGCTGCTCAGAAATGATGCAACAACCATTCTGTATTTACAGAGTTGACAGATAGTCCCAGTTTTATTTACATTATCATACACAAATCTACAGTATTACAGCCCTTTTAGTTTCTTTGGTTTTTGACCTGCCTCAGCTAATCATATACACATCATTGACCCTTAGAAAATACCATAAAAAGGTGGAATAAAACAATATATTAACTTAAAATAATCAAATAATTTCATTTTTTTTTTTTTTACAATTTCAGCCCCCTTCCACATCATAAATCAACTTGGAATGCAATTGTTGTGTGCTTTGAGTCCATAAATTCACACTGAAATTAGAAATTGACAATAGAATTAGCATTTTTAGTCACAGGAACACAAGGAAGTAAGAAGTCCAGTCTTATTTATGCCTGCACAAACACGCACTAAAACCATTACAACCATGTCTCCCAGCATCAATGTTAGATCTCACATTAAAACTATAGAATGATCCTGAAATGGCACCAAGAATGAGAAGGAAAAAAAACGTTCCAAGGATGCGTGCGCACTGTCGAGTTTTGGTTAGTGGTTTAAAAAAAATGCTATTGGATTGCGTCAGAACAATATGCGAAATTAAAAAAAAGGATGACAACTTGTATGTTTGCCCCCCTTCCTGAACATGACTCAGCAGATTCAGTATGGACGTGTAAAGATCATCATGATCATTAAAAACAACGCAATTCTCCCGTGTATTCAGTTCAGTTTGGGTGAATTAGTTTACTTCATATAGGCTACATTTTCAGTTATATTGACACTTTACGCGCGCACACGAGCCCCTCGCTGTGCACCACGTTCCACATCCTGAGCAGCTCCTGCACGCTCAGTTTGTGCACCACGATGAGGTTTTTGTAAAAGCACGGCTCGCTGTTCATGGAGCTCACCTTGCGCCTGGTGATGCCGAATGTCCTGAAGCCCGGGTGCATCTCCGGGACCAAGTGCAGCTTCTGCAGGCACATGCCCAAAAACACATCGTCAATGGGGTACAACTCCAGGTCCTCGGAGACCACGAAGAGCCTCCTGGCCAGCTTGGAGGACATGAGGAACCCTCCGCCTCCAACATAAGGTGGATATGGCTTATCATACAGCTCTCTGGGGATGTAGTATTTACTCTGCCGGTTTCGGATGGGGATCGCCTTGGAGATGGTGTCCCCCACGAACAAATTGGCCTCTTTGTGATCCTCCACCTTGAAGTCGATGAGCTGCACCAAGTTCTGCGTGTTCACGAACACGTCGTCATCTCCTTTGAATATAAACTGCACATCGGAGCAGTAGATGTCGAACCATTTGAGGAAGTTGACCTCCTTCAGGGTCAAATTAAAGAAGGTGTCCATGAAGTCCCACTGCAGGATGTCCCCGTAGATCCTGTCCTCGTACTCGATCAGTTTCTGGAGGTTCTTAGTGTCCTTCCCAGTCGTTGGGCTCCCCAGAAGAAATAACGTTTTGATTCTCTTCCCATCCACAGTGTGTTCCTTTCCCCATGTTTTACGCACAGCCTCCCGGCGATCGTGCTGCTCGATGACGGATTTAATCACCATAAGGATGTGCGCCTCTCCACGCGCGCACTTCTCCGGGTGGTTGATGAGCATGGGGAAGTACCTGCAGTGTCTGTGCAGGACAAACTGGTGGAACCTCGGGTCCAAACGCTTGAACCAGTCCTGCGTCCGCACCGACGCGTCCTCGCTGCAGTTGAGAACCTGCGCGTCCCAGGAAGCCGGGGTCTTGTTGGAGACCCGCTGCGCGTCCACTGTGTTGCTAAGCACCGGCAAATCCGAGCTCCCCAAACTGTTTTTTACGATCCTTTTCTTGTAGGAAAAACAATCGGGGCCACACCACGGCGTGTCCCTGACATGTTTTAATCCCACTGCGTCCTTCTCTGCCACTTTCAGCTTGTGGATCATGAGGAAAGAGGCGAAGACGAGGGACAGGCTGAGCAGAGGCTTCAGCAGACCCACGCGCTTCCTCCGGAAAAAATGATCCATGGCTCTCACTGCGGCGCCCACTGATCCTCAGATGCTGGATGTGTTGCCTTCATAGTGTTTCACAACTTTTGATTTCCATCCATCACCGCCGCCGCTGGGCATTTTGAGCCATCAGAGGTTGTTTCCTTCGGCTACGGGCTACCTGACACTGAAGGGGCCCCGGGGCCACGTCTGCCCACGACGGCGCTCTATGGAGTCACACATCGCCTCTCTGGGAAATGATGCACTACATGTCCTCAGGCTCCTTCCCTGCACTCTGTCTTAGAATGACTGCTGCAGGATACACTTCTCTCTCCTCTGTCTCTCCCTCTCTCCCTGTCTCTCTCTCCTCCCCCAATGATCCTCACTGATCTGGGACCAGCAGGTTTCCCATTTCTCACACACACCAGGTGTCCAGCAAGTAATAGTTAGTGCTTTTAAACAATGTAAGCTACACCATGATTATAAATTAATCTCTAAGATCTGCATACACAAAACAATACACTTTATCAAATGTAATTGATTGATATGAAAATATAATTAGGGAGGACAAAGTAAGTTAATAAAAGAAAAACATGCAGATCAAAAAAGTAGTACGTTATTTTCAACGCACATCTAAAGAAACATTTTAATAATGCATTTAAAGATCCTGAACATTTTGGGAAACTGTACCAAAATACTAGTCAAGGGCGTAAAGTACTAAAGGTGCACTTATGAGTGTATAATTTGGGCGGTGGTGGCGAAGTCCATAGGGACTTGGCTTGGCAACTGGAAGGTCACCAGTTCATGTCCCGGAAAGACCAAGTGCACCCCGGGCCCCGTACATAATGGCAGCCCACTGCTCCTAACACTAGGATGGGTCAAATGCAGAGAAACAGTTTTGTTACATAGTACCTGTACTACGTGATGACAATAAGTTGAATCTTCTTCAATCTTCAATAATTTGGCTATGAGGAAGTAGCAATAGTAAGCTGGGTAAATATGTGCTTTAATTGTTCCTTATAATTTCAAAAAACAACATATTTAAAGGCATGAGAAAAGCAGAAGTGAATATAGTTTCTTAGAAATTGATTCACGCAAGTTAGTGTCAACATCCTTTCTTAATAAGCTATTTGTTGAACAGGCTACTTTTCATCGCCTTATTTGTTAACAGGCCAAGTTACATACTTGTGCACATGGAGGACAAATGTCTTTATGTATTCCTTCCCCATATGACGTTAGGCTAGAGCATGTAAAACATGATTTTCTTGTTGAACAGCAGTTTTACATGAATCATCAGGCGGAAACGCAGGAAAATGTAACTAATATAGTTGGTATGATAAATATGCAAAAGAGATTGTGTCAATACAAAGAGGTTTATTTGTGTGTTATTGGAAGGGACAAATTGCCAGAAACTTAGAATGTATGTAAAGCTAGTCTTTTGGTTAAAATAAGTGGCTAACCAGTTTTTGAAACCAATTTTCAAATGATATATTTATCCTTAGTTGTGGTATGTATCAAAGTACATTTACTCAAGTATTGTACAATTTCGAGATACTTGTACTCCACTATTTCTATTGTAGCCAATGCTACTTTACTCCACTACAATTTTGGTTCACACTAGAAATATTTTATATTTAATTTTTTTTTACATTTTGAAAAAAAAAAAAAAATAGAAATGCATGCGGGTCATTTTTGACCCACTTATGGAAGCTTGGGGTAGTAATACAAAAACTACAATTTCTTAAAATGTAAATTTAAAATTTGAATAGCATGATATCCAAAACATGTTTTTTGAGGAATAGCTGGAATATGAAATGATAACAAAATGTAATTACAAAGATACTTCAAGAATACCACCTCACCGGGTCCAAAAAGACCCACTTATGGAAGCTTGGGGTAGTAATACAAAAACTACAATTTCTTAAAATGTATAAAATGTCAATTTAAAATGTGAATGGCATGATATCCAAAACATGTTTTTTGAGGAATAGCTGGAATATGAAATGATAACAAAATGTAATTACAAAGATACTTCAAGAATACCACCTCACCGGGTCCAAAAAGACCCACTTATGGAAGCTTGGGGTAGTAATACAAAAACTACAATTTCTTAAAATGTATAAAATGTCAATTTAAAATGTGAATGGCATGATATCCAAAACATGTTTTTTGAGGAATAGCTGGAATATGAAATGATAACAAAATGTAATTACAAAGATACTCTAAGAAAACCACCTCACCGGGTCAAAAAAGTCCCACTTATGCATCTAAGGGTTAATACATATACCTGGTGTTCCTCGACAGCATATTTTAACTCTACTGCATCACATGTCTTGAAGAGGGTATCATTAGAATCACTCTCGCGCCCTCTGGTGGCCATTTGGTGGAATAACACTTAGTTGGTGTCACCTCACATGACCCGGTTTAATGTAGCCTGTAGATACCTTCCAGATACCCCCATAGACTGGCGACTCTGACCTCCGAGTGAACCATAGCAGCTTCCAGGCAGCTTCAGACGTGAAGGGGTAGGGGACAGGGCAGGAGATATTAGGTAGAATTCTAATAAGAACAGGACTATGAGAGATATCCGACATGCTGGACACTGGAGCAGTTAGCGGAAGATGGCAGCACTGAGGATGTAAGCTACATTTTAAAAATCACAGAAGAAAAAGAAGACCGTCCGGGGCAGAGCACGAGCACAGGCGTAGACGCCACATAACATATCAACACCATCGAGTAGACTCATCACACACACCATCATTTTTGGCTATCCGAAACCAGTTTTTTTTAATATATTAATAACAAACAGCAAATTCGAATCTTTAATATTGGATTTGCTGAACAACAGAAGCATTACGCCGGCAAAATATGCAAAAGGTAGGTGTAAAGAGAAGCTCCTGGTGTAATAGTCTCTGGTATGTTAGCTCTTATCTTTAATGCTAGCCTTATTAGCTTGCAGCTGACATATTGAGATTAAGTATCCGACTCTTTGCAAGCTATGTTGATGTGTTAGCTTATCTGTGTCTTTCTATCTCCAGACAGACGTTTACGTCGTTCTCGTGACCTGAGACTGAACTTAACCTTACATAACCTATTTATCTTTCACCGTGATTGTTGGTTTACCGACAATGCGCATGGCATTGAATTCCCAAAACACAGTGACATTACTGTAGAAACTGTACTGTCCTAACAGTTATTTAACGCAACAGTAGGAACTGTTTTAAAGTCAAATTTAGTTAGGCTTTGCTCTGGCACGCCTTAAATAAGGAAATGTAACGTCAGTAGATTACAATTCAGAGTATGCTGGAGGTTTTGAGTCATGATAATGCCAACAGTTTTGGGAGGACTCTGGGTAGCGGAGGAACAGGGACGTAGCTCAGCAGAGCCCCCGTGGGTTTAAGCATATCACGTATACACTTTAAATAGAAAATAGGAAAGTGTTGCTTTTCCCCCTGAAACGATAGTTCCATTAAATGCAAAACCTGACTTCATTCGCTCAAATGTGTAATTTTTAAAGCCATTAACAGGTAGAGACGTTATATTTAGAAAATGTACTCTTGTCTGCTAACCCCCCCCCACTCCTTTTTTTCACATTTACACCAAAAACGTCTGAAGTTAAAACAGCATGTCTTTCCCACATCTACACTTAAAATGAAAATGATTCATGTGACCATTTGTAGTCTTCTACTGGAAGCATTACTTCCTAGCACAGCGCTAGCTAAAACCTTGCATCAACTCAAACCACATGACAGTGATTATCCTAGGCAGACGTTTCGATTCGAAGGCACACCATGTGCAGGTGAGCCAGCTTATCCGTTAGCTGTTATGCACCTTAAACTGTTGAATTCTTCCAAACTCTTGATGTTCTTTTAAAACCTGGCTCCTTTTGAAACAAGAGAAAAAGCCCACTAATAAAAAGGTAATCCACCAAAGGGCTACGTTTGGACCGTTACTTAACGTGTGATGTCTCTAAAGCTAAGGAAGCTTTTATCTTAATATTCTCCCTGATGATTGACATTAGGGTTTATTTTTTAACTGGTTGCTATATATTTAAGTATTGCCAAAAGGGATGAAACAAAACCACATTATGCTGATTTGCAGATGCCCGGTCAACTTGACAGCTTGAAGCCCAGAAAGAGGAAGAGCAGCTCCAGAAAGGTTTGTGTTAACATGTATCGGCGAGAGCAGACTCTATAAAGAACAGATACAGACAGCAGTTATCTTTATATTGCTTTCTTCAAACTACTTGGAAATGGACCATGTTTGACAAACTGAACAATTGCGTAGGGCTGCACGATTTAGAAAGAAGTACCTTATTGAGATTATATTATTGACTGATATTGCAATTGGAGGGAATGTTCATTGTTGAATGAAATGATAAAATATATTATGATATGATACAATATTATTATTGAGTATCTGTATTAACCTAATTTGTTTTGGTAAGTCTGTATAATACCATGTGTAGGCCTTGATATCTCTGCAGCTCTACCATTCTACATTTAAAATTGTATTTTAACACATTTACCCTTTATATTGCACTATTCCATATTGCAGTTTTGATAACATTTCAATTAATTGTGCAGCCCTTGTCTTCCGTCCTTATGGGTGTTGAATATAGTATATTATAATAAGAAAAGGATATTAATCATAGTCAAATGTAACATCATCCTAACCCCAATCCTTTACTTGTATATTACAGGCTTCTACTACAAGGAGGAAATGTATAAAAAGTCCAAACATGCAGCCGGCAGCAGCAGCAGGGAGCAGCTCAGCGGTCGATGGGTACAGCAAAGCAGACGGCGCTGTGGAGAGACTCTCTGCCATCAGCTGTGAGTGCCAGCAGTCCGGCAGGAGGAGATGCTCTGCTTCCCCGGAGCTGGAGGGACAGGAGGGCAAAGAAAACGAAGTGAGGACGGGGCAGGAAGTGGACAGCTGCACAGTGACCTGCGTCTGGGACAAACACGAGACCGAGGACATGGATTGTGAGGAAAGCAGCAAAAACATTTTCCCAGATGACGACAGTAATCAGATTCTGCCCGTGGAGCAGTTCTTTGGAAATCTGGATGCTGTACAGGTGAGGCGATGTCTGTGGCTCAGGTTGGATTATGTTGCCTGAGAAATGTTGTTGTAGGGGAATTTTTGCAACATTGATCTGCATTTAGGAGTGGCTGTCTTGAAAAAAGCGCAGACTAAACATAGATAAAGTATCACCCCATGTGCTGTCAACAAAATGTTAAATCAAAATCAGATATCCTTTATTAGCCCACAGTGGGGAATTAAATAATGAGGCAGCACACGTTCATAAATCAAGTACCCATAATTTGAAGTGCCCATTTCAGACTCTTTCATTAACATTTTCTCAATTGTCTCTTTATATGTTCTTCTTATTCATGTAAAAAGACAAAATAAGAGAGGTCAAATCCAGATACCCCAAATGTTTTTAATCATCGAAATCGGAGGAATTAAGAAAACAAGGTGAATCCCAGCAAACAATTGGAACCAACAAAAGAAGAACAAGCTGGCATACGGACAAAAACAGCAGGAAATGTATTCATATAGTGTAGCTCCCCGTCTGAGGCCCATCGTGTAGCAACCATAAATGCGTTGCAGTAACAGGAAAGCGTATTGTAAATATTGAGCATCTCTCCACTTCCTCATCCATCAACTCATGCTCAAAATACTGCCTATTGCAGAATGCGTCATCATTGCTGAAATCTTTGCTCATCATTAACAGCGCTAATGCTAATATTATTTGAAAATAATAATACAATTTTTTATATATATATATATATATATATATAAAACATTTTTACTTTCATTGCACATTTTATATTTTTACTTAAAGGTGGGGTAGGTAATTTTGGAGAAACCAGCTCGAGATCGCTAGAATTTGAAAATACACAGCCGGAAAACAAATCTGCCACTTCCTTACAGAGCCCCTCCTCCAACACACACAAACGCCCACGTGACCAATGAGGGCACGAGATAAGTCTGTGCACAGATGGAAGGCTGACAGGCAGGTAGGCCATCCAGTTATTTTAGCCGGGCCAGCTAAAATGATTGGTCGTGCTTTTTACAGTATTACGGCTTCCACAGATGACATTTTTTTATGGATTTTTTGTCAAAGCACTTAAGATATTCATTGCTATCGGGATGTTAAGAGCATTCCATGGAATATAACAAAAAGTGTATCTCGAGCCGGTTTCTCAAACTTACCTACCCCACCTTTAACTTATGTTTGTATAATATTTATTATTTATTTGTATTTTTGTCATATTTCACATAATATTTTATTTGAATCCAAAATGGAGAAACTGTCCCAAAACCAAATGTCCCCAAATGTCTGAAATCTGATTCAGCTGTATCAGTCACCATAAAAAAAGTAATTTTGATATAACAAAAAAATATCAATATATTTAAAAACATGCAACATGGAGGCATTGAGCCTCCATGTTGCATGTTTTTAAATATATTGATATTTTATACAGGCCATGACAAAAAACATAATAAATAGCAACAAGATGGCGACAGGTACAGCAGACTATATAGGACAGTATAGTGCAATTTTTTTTTTTTTCTAGTTAGAAACTCCTCTAATCAAAGGCATACTTAAACTGTAAAGCTCCCATAACCTGAATCAGTTGTTAAGTAACTGACATTGATTAAAAAGTAATGTCATATCTTTTTTTTTCTATTATACAGGATTTCCCTCAGAGACCGTCAGCGTCCTCGGCCCGTGGTCAACATGACAACGCAGGGAGACGGAGACGCCATTACTACGCACCCGAGAACAGCGATGAAGAGGAGGCAGGCGTGATCAGTGCACCGCGAGGGGACAGAGGGGACACTTAACGAAGAGTAACGGAACTGATGTCTCAAAGTGAGGCCTGAGGGACTCAAAAGGCTCGGCACTTACTCAAAAGCAGCTCTTTCAATCAGTGAAACGCTGTCTCACAGGAGGCAGGAATTTGCTGTAGCTCGATCTGCTGTTAGCCTACCATTGCTTACGAATTGTCCTTATATGTAAATTTGCTTTTAAGTTACTTCCCGTACCCGCCATGCGTTGAAGAGATTCTTCACAACATAAAAACTTGAGCACTTCGCCAACAGCTTAAAAGAGAGTTCTTGGTCATTTACAATTGTTGACTTGACAAACCGTCCAAATGCACAAAAATGCTAAATTGTTTTCAAACTTGTTCCCAAATATCTTGTCAGTTCATTTATTACTGTTTGGGCCGGCCCAGCACTTTATTTACACATATTATTACATACTGCTTCATATTGTCAGTGAGATTAGCCGTGAGAGATGCCAAATAGTACTTCATTTAAAGGTCAAAGTGTATATTTGTAGGAAAAGTTGTGCAAATCTACACGTTTTGGAAGAATACATGCGCCAAAGAGCTGTTTCACAGCGAAAGCTTTTAATATCACAGAGTCATGGTTTAGAATGAATGTCATTGTTCACCAAGTGTCTAAAGTCATCATCTATGTGTGCCCAGTTTGGGCTTTTTGGCAGCTGCTTCATACAACACATCTGTAAAATAACAAATATCAATGCAGCTAAATATTTTCCCTGAGGAGGATCACATTTGCAAACATGACAGAATTCTACACAAAAATGCATTGTAAAAAAACAGAGTTTTATCAGAAATGTTTTTAGTCCGTTTAAACAGAGGATACGTTAAACCTGACTTTAAAAATGTAATCTAGTTTTTGAGGGTGCCAGTACTTGCACTCCTCACTATTATGCCACTTACTGCCTGAGTGATAATCCATGCATTTTACATCACAGTGCCAACACAGAGAACATAATAAATGTTTTTCATGATTTCAAAATAAGCGTGTAATTCTTTTGTCTGACAAATGACTGCCAGTCTTATCAGTGTGATACTTTTATACCCTCACAGTTCATAAAAAATGAAAACGCTTAAAAGATAAGAGTAAAAATGTTCACACCAAGCGCCTCTTCTTCCCTTTCACATTCTGTTTTGCTTTGTTCGTGTCACTGGCTTTTCTAAAGATCTTCTTGGCGTCACATAGCAGGTTGTGCGCTCCTTTCTTGTGGCACACGATGTGCACCAGCTTCAGGTTCTCCCATGTGAACAGCAGGCCGTAGAAGTAGTTCAGGTTGATGTCGGAGCTCTTGTGATTCTGAAGAGCTTCCAGCAGGGCGGGAATGATCGTCCTCTTCTTTTCAATCCTGGACAAAAGACAAAAAAGATGATAAATATGTGGCCGTAAAGTGGTGCGGCGACGACATATTTTTGTAGGCCAACACAAAAGTTAGTATCGCCTAAAAGCTAATGGAATCTTCTCCATTGGATATCAGAAAATTGAAGAAAAAAACAACACAGTATAATCAATTTTCGCATTTTTAACACCACTTTTACAATAGTTGACACGCAAATTAAATCTTTGGAAATAAAAACCTAACTTCTGGCTATTAGATAACTACATCAGGGTCACATGAGACTGATAAATGTAATGTCCTAGAACTAAAACGAGGAATTGTCTAACCTTGTGGTTTCGACATACATACATACAAATAGACATTTCAGGCCTCTTTTATTCACTGCACACAACAGTAAAACATTTTTTTCTGCTAGAGTCCAACCTGTGGTCCAGGTTCCATGTGCTGAACACTATCCTGCTCTCTCTGCTGCCGTACGGGTTGATGGAGTGGAGAGACTGGCACACTTTCTGCTCATATGATCCCTGAAAAAGCAAAAGAGAAGAAGCAGATTCAGTGCTTTCAAATGTTTTTGTTAGTTTTGTAAAGAATTGATAGAAATGAAGCATATCCCTCTAATACCTGGCAGGTGAACCACCCTTCTCGAGTACAGAGCCGCTCCTTCTCGGTCCTGTCGAAGTAGCAGCCGTTGTTCTTTGCCGTCTTCAACATTTCGGACAGACTTTTTGACGTTTTCAGAAACTCTTCCCTGACTTTAGCCTTCTGTATTGTTTTGGTGGCCCCATGCACCTGAGTCACAGAACATCTATTTTGGATATTTCTATGCCATATGCCTTAAGAGCCATTAAAAGACTTAATAGAGTCTTTACCTCCTTCATGTAGCCTCGCATCCTGCCCTCACAGTTGAACTTCATGTAGGCCGACTTCGTCTTGAATCGAGCATCAACACCTGAAATGAAACCCCACATGAACACTTCCGCAAAAACAGTCTCCAACTAGCGCTGGTGTGCTCTCAAAATAGCAACAGCTGATAATAATGGTCCCCTAAATACTTCGGATCATCGGAACTTTACTCTGTTGCTTAAATCTTTTTTTCACTGAGGCAATGCAAGATAATGTTTTCTTCAAGAATTCAACGTATCAATCAAGTCATGTATTATTTTGTGGGTGAGGTATTCCTTCAAAATGAGAAAGAGCATCTTCTTATGACATTTCTTTTTTCTTTTAATAGTGGCATACGTATGTAACCCATGAAGCCAGCAGCTCATGTATGTCTCCAGACTTTGTACCTTTGAACCATTCTTCATGCTCCTCCCTGCTCTCCAGCTCAGATCTGTCCTCCAGGTTGAGCAGCAGGTCGGTCAGGATTTTACGTCTTTGAGGAGACTTCTCATCAGACAGGAGCCCTTTTGCTGCTTCAATGAGGCCATCGGCATATCGGTCTGTCTTCAGTAACTGACCAATGTCACACACAACTGGAATTGAAACCACACGGGTCAGATAACAGACACTGTTTAGAGTTGAAGCATTTATCTGGATTGTGGGTCATTTCAGAATTTCATGTCCCCCATATAAAAAAATCTAATAATCCATGCCCTAAAAGCTAAAACATGCACAAAATATTATTTAAAATATCAAATAGCTCTCGAACACCCCCTAAAATTGCCCTTTTCTCTTGTCCCAGCTTCTTGGTGACCAACTTGCATGTCAAATATAACATTTAAAATAGGGTTTTTATTTACTTTTTTTGGTATTATTCTATTGATTGTCTCTTGTAATGGTAAAATCAATTTGTTAAATCATAAACACATTTTAAATAACATTAATTTTGCACAGAAGGTGTGTCCCTCAACATGCGTGCAACCCTGTTACCGAAACCTTTTTAGCTTGGCAGAGGAAGTGAAAAAACTGTTTGTCACATGACAGTGGAAAGGACTTCAGCAAGCCATGTGCTACTACCATGGGTAGACCAAAAGTAAGTCCTCTTTTATTTGTAATATATTTCCAATCTTGTCACTCTTGAAGGAGTTTGGCACTCATACAAACGCAACCCTGTTACTCACATTATGAGACTAAAACAAATTAATTTCAAATGTATCTTTCTTTTGTTAAATATCTAAGTGTGTCCATTCCTTGACAATATCATTACATTACATTGTGCAGCTAGCATTCATTCCTGAGGTAAAAGCTCAAATTAGCATTGATTTGCAACCCTGTTACTATAATTAGAGTAACAGGGTTAATTCTTCATTGGAAAATATACATTTGATGCCTTAGCTGGGCAAATCACTTTTTTTGATGGTTTATTATCTGTTTTTCCTAATTACATAACAAAAAATAAAATAAAAGGTTCATTTTTCAAAAAATGTTGGTGTCTAAATTGTCCTCCAATTCTGGAATGACCCTAAAGGTGATCCCCCTACCTCCGCTCCACGTCTGATCTCTGCAGAGGAGAACAAGTTCGGTGTGGTCCGGCAGAGTTTGGAAGAATTCCTCCGTCACGGTTGTCCCATCAGAATACAAACAGACATGTGCACCAGGAGATGGCAACTGGAAATGGCGTCAATGTATAAAAAAGGGGGAACAAATACAATATATTTAGATTTAAGTGAAATGTAAGACGATGGTAAGATTTGTTTTCCCTTTTCTCCCACAAGAGGTTAAAGTCAAGTCAGTTAAAAAGAATAACCAAAGTGGTGTACAGACCAGAGCAAATAAAACAGGAATTAATTTCAGTTTTGTCTATTAACAGTTTGTTTCCATTATTCAAAAGGGTTTCACTACTGAAACTGTGACACCCATCTCTGGAGGAAAACAGTGAAAGACTCTGGTGACAGAACAAGACGATCTGCATTTTTGTCTTTCTAGTTCCCATGGTTCTCTTTAGACTAGATTGATAACAGTTGATTACATTTCAGTAGATGTTGTTCACAGAGCTATCAATTACACACAGTGTTTTCAGATTAAATAGATATCTATGATGCGGGAGGGCAGGTGGTGTCAGCTTGTCTGGAATGAAGATAACTATTAAGGCTATTATCTGTGTAAAACACATTTCATATCAAACATTTAATTTGAAAGTAATAACATATTTGGAAATTCTCTTTACTATGGAATGTCTACTGCTGTGTCATTTTTGCACTTGAATTACATGTAATTACACTTGTTTATGCACTGTAAATAGCTTTCTAACCAGTTGCTAGCTACCTCTCTCTTGCCTGTTTATTTGTTTCTGTGATGCCTAATCTGTGTGTGGATACAGTTGTGTCTAATATTATTTAGAGAAAAATATCGGGAATATGTTGTCTGCATGTAATGTGAAATGATTCCCCATAGCTTCTTCAAGGTGAAGATGACCCTGGTTTGCACTAAACCCGCCCCTATCATGACAGGAAGTTAACCAACAATCTTAAATAACGTGCACAAACAATGCAATTATATTCCCAGCGCCCTCAACCAGACATATAGCTGCTTAAACACTTAATTATAACACTTTTATGTTTTTACTTTTCTTTTTTACCCATATCCTCCTCGCTGAAAATAAAACTCAACTGGTGGTAGAGCTGTTAAAAACAAACCAGAAGAAAACGCACACGCTCACCTGTAATAACGTGCAGCCTTTTTTAAGCAACTCTTTCACATCTTTTGCTGCAACTCCGTACTTTTTATTTTCATTACGACTCCTTATTTTAACGGGTTTGTTTTTCCCGAAGAGTCCAAACATTGCACTGTTGTTTTCAGTTTGTAACGACCGCTTCCTTCTTCTTCCTCGCGAGGCTAACTACCCTGCGCGTGGTGTGCTGCCGCCCTCTAGTGTTGCCATAGTGTATTGATGGAGGAAATGTTAACCCAACAGTTACTGTACATTTTCTGAGGTACAATACTTGAGTAAATGCAGGCTGGTAAGATTACTGTTGCATGTGAAAGCAAAATAGGCAATATGTTTCATGTTCATTTTCGAAATATCAAGAATATATGAATGAAGTTTAACTCTTCACATTTGCTTCCCCTTCCAGCTAGGGACATCTGATATTGTTAGCAGCGTTGTAGCGTTACAAATGCATGCACACAAGTACTTCTGCAGTCTTGTCAGCCACCATTGCCCTACAATTCGTGTACTCAGAAAAATCCAGCACAGAAAAATACCCCTCACCAAACAATGAGAAAAGTGGTGCCCTTCTTACTGATGCCCTCAACCTTTTAAATCTTGACCTCTTGAGGGCTTTTCCTCTATTTTGAGCATGTACATCCATAGAAGCATCATCCGTTCCTATAACAGAGATAAACTCAGCTGCAGGAATACAGTTTTATCAAAGTATTTATCCACTGTCGCAGACACGCAGAATGCAAATTAATCATCAGTGAACATTGTACTATGATCTACACATAATGTTGCTAAACTTTTAACAGCCATTTTTGTTGGCTATCATTCACATTCACATACATGTAGGTTGTATTACACTTTGCATAACAATGGCCACAGAACCTTTATAGGCTACTGTAATTGGCTAACTTTTGTACTTTCAATGCAGAACTAAAAATAGTGCTGCTACATCTACTACGAATAATATTGTAAGAATTTTTTCAAGTTTAAAAAAAAGAGTAAGTGCATAGTTTGCGTTCTTTGATTTATAAAAACTAAGTTAAATCTAAATAGCACTGGTGGAGGACTGTATGTATGGCATTTAGCAGTGGACATTACCATAGCAACAGATGCAGCCCGATGGGACATACCAAATGAAAGGTTAAGGATTAGAGGCGAGGATAGCCAAATACTTTTTAGACGTTAAGTTTCGGTGTTAAACGCCTCGGTGCATAAGAACGTTTCTCGTATATTCAATATGCATTTTAAGTATTGTTGCCTTCACTCGCAGATAGTCTTAAATAAGTAATTAACTTTCTCGTCTAACCCTTCTGCTCTGAGTAGTTTAAACCAAATTCAATATGGCGGCAGCGGGTTTGAAAATCTTAACATGTAGACAAATAACATTCGCATTTTTGACGCTACATGTGTTATTTTCCTATTAACTACAGACTATGGTCAAAACTGAAGAAACAACAACCATGGCTGCCGGCTGGAACGAACTGTTTGAAAGAAGCCGGGTGGTTCCTCCGCCCTGCCAGACAGTCCGCCTGGCTGTGGAGAGCCACCTCACCGAGTCCCACGGCTTCCAGCTCAGCCTCAGCCGGCTCACTGCTGCTCACCTCCAACAGGTGATAGCTCAAAGCTAACGCTAAATGTTCCCTATAGTTTCAGGATAAGTTATGTTCTTAGCAGACATTTAGTGGTTTTTTAAACGAATGTACAGTCTGTGTAGTTTTTAATTTGCCGAACAAAGTCTGACTTTAAGCTGTCATTATTAAGCAGATATATGAAAAAGGCCCACATTATATCTCCCTTTAACGTATTTAATGGTACGTCACAGCGAATCAGAAGAATACTAGCAAAACCCCGTCCTAAAAGTTTTATAATTAAAGGTGACCTTGCATTTTTCCAACCGTTTAATAACGTTGACCACTACGAAACACCATTGTAAACATGCTATGTATCCTTTTGTAAATTCGGTAGGAGAGATAATACAAAAAACCACCACTGCAGTTAATCATACTTTGTTTCAAGAACATAAGAAACACGTACATATTGAGTGATACGTATGTATGACTGTTTGCCAAGAGTGTAAGCCATCTGAAATCATGCATCAAACACAATTTTAGAATTACCTGTGACTTTTCTAAAGTGGGTGTTTCTTTTTCTTTTTTACTCATAGGAGAAGTCAGAGGGGGAACAAGATGTGACCTACCAGCTGCGAGTGACCCTTTTTGATAGAAACCATCAGCAATTCTTTGGGAAAACTTGGAAGAGCTCACCCCAGAAGATGAAAACTACCAAAATCTCCTTCAACGAGGTACCTGTACACACAGCTTTGATTGACTTGTATTTAGATCTGTAGGCTCTTCATTAAACCTTTCTCATGTTTTATTGATATATAGTGGATTGATGATTATATAGAAAATCAATTCCAATTCAAGCATAAATTACACAAATGAAGCACAAGCATGATTTAATAAAACCAACACAAGAGCTTCTCCACTCAAGGCTTTCAATTAGCACTGATGATTGGACTGTGTTCTGCTGTCAGCTGAAACTGAAATTGATTACCAAAGAGTTTCAATTTCTCACCATGCATGTTGACAAAGAGCCCATTTTATGTGAAGCAACATTTTATGAGTGTTGTAGATTACTTTTTAAGAAAGAAAATGTTCCATACTTTACAAATCTTTACTTTGCTTTGTGTTAGACATAATGAATAACAGATCAATAAGTAAATATATAAATGAAAATTGGTAAGTTGGCAACTTGGCATTATAGGTAAATAAACTGTATTTAAATAGCACATTTCTTGTGCTTTTCAGACTAATTCACCCATTCACACACATATCCATTCAGAGCCAGAGGCTGCAATACAAGGTACTCAAACACTGTTGGTCGTGCCATTGGGAGAAATGTTGGTTTCAGAATCCTGTTTAAGGACACTTCAACATGTTGACTGCAGGTGTCGGGGATCAAACCAGCGACCCTCTGTTTAGTGGAAGACCAATCCACCTCCAGAAATGTCAACTGTCAAAAGTCCTGCTCAGTATTTCTTCAATTTTCTCACATATCTTTAAACATATTTAAGTTATCAAGACTGTTTGTTTCTGAGTTGCAGGACTCCAACAATCAAAGTGAAAGCTTTGTGTAAAAACAGATGTGTTAGTAGTATTACTGCACTATTAGTATTACTTCTAGTACTTGTACTATAGTGGAAGTTAATGAAAACATTTGAGTGAATGAACTGTGAATGCTAGCAAACTTGCATTGTGGAAGCTTTTTTTGGTGTATTTTGCTATTTTAACAGTTTCACTCTCCCGCGAACAGATGTGAACAAAAAGATTTGATAGATTAGCAATCAGCATGTCCCAGGTACAATAATTCAGCATCTAATGGTTTCCAAAGCAGTAATTCTGACTTATTTTAGGCGCTCACAGATGCTGCCTCATTAGTCGTCTGCTCATCCACACACGTGAACAAACACTGCTGTCAGCTCACCGCCATTATATGTTTAACATTCACCATCGACAGGTTCAGCAGCCCCGCTAAGATCCAGCGCCAGTTTGTTAACAGCAAATACATAAAACCTGTGAGAAGCCCAGTGAATTTTAAATAGACCATTTGACTTAACTGCATACATCCATCAGCCTCAACATCACTGCTGAGTTGTGTAGAGACTTTCACCATAGGGTTACTTTTGTCCGTTTTACAAGACACATTTTTTTTTATCATTGAGTCTCGAGTATCACGCTGGCTGTAGTTTCTTTGTAGGTCTTCTGTGTACTGCCAGCGGAATACGTCAGTAATAGGCTCCACATATCAACACATTTATACAATGACAGTAATTATTCTTCCGTATTTAATTCTAAATTCAGTTGTATCTTAACATATACATTATTTACTTATTCCTGCATTTTACTTGAATCATTGAATCAATTGCCACATTTTATTGCACAATTTTACTTTCTTATTCCTTTTTCTTTTTCTCTTAAGTATGTCATATACTACGCTGCTAGCCTAGTAGGATTTTCATTGCCAACGACTACACTGTCATTCTTGCAAGACAAAACAAAGCTTTGAATCTTGGAATTTAGAAAGTGCATTACCTGGTGTGCTGAGGATTTCTAGAAACAACTTGGAGAAAGTTGCTCCTGAGCTGACAACTGAGCCTGAAGCTCAGTTCCTCCTGTGATGTGGTTGTGATTTAAGTTCTGTTTCTTCATGTCATCACTTTGCACGCCGTGCTAGTATTTGTAAGCAGATTGTATTACGAAAGCAGGGTTTTTGGGCTACATTATCAGTATAAGCCGAAAACTTCCAGCCATTAAAACATCAGATTTTCCTGGTTTAGGACATACACTTGGTTCAAGTCCATGTAGGGATGGACAATATATCAATATTATTTCCATATTGTGATATAAGACTATATAGAGGATTATTTATCAAAAATCTCATTGTGAGATTATGCTAATTTTCAGGTTTCATATTTGTATTTTCTTCCTCTGCCTTCAAAAAGCTCTTTATTTTTCTCATACTGCCTGTGCTGCAGCACCTTTTTCCACCCTCTGTCTGAAACCAGAGCTGAGTCTGCTCTGATTGGTTAGCTAGCTAGCCCTGTTGTGTTTGGTCAACCGCAGATGACCTACAGGAACAGCCTATCAGGTGCAATGTGTTGAAGTGCTAGCCAATAGAAGAGCAAGTCTTACGTATGTGATTTATTTCATAAAATAATATATACAGTAGTTATTCTTACAATATCGTTGCAATATCAATATTAAGGTATTTGGTCACAATTATCATGACATTTATATAATCCATATCGCCCAGCCTTAATTCCACGTACTTCCTGTAGTATTTATTGTAAGTTAGCATCCTTTTTCCTTTTGGCCCTAGTTGTATTTCTGCTGTGGTCGAGCTCCTTTAAACAAGCAAGACTCACAGGCATGTTGGTATTGAAATAGCTCTATACTTTTTCTCTATGAGTACATGAGAATGAAGTTGGCCTGCTGTTTCAGACAAATGTTGGGCTGAAGTCTACTGTCTCACTTTGTTGCATTTCATTTCTTTATTCTCGACAATCATTGTTCTTGGAGTCGTTTTCTCCTCTTTAATCTTGATTTCCCAAAGGGAACAGAGAAACCATTTTTTGATGTCAAACTGTGTGATATATTCTTTGATGATGAAATTTACAATTACTTCTTGAAAATGCTAAGAGAATGTAATAGTGTTATAGCTATGGAAGAGAAACTGATATTGAAATATGACACAAATGAGATTATCGCCATGGTATCCATTCAACTTGAAAGGAGACCATGAAGATAATCAAAAGGGATAGGATCTCTTTTGTTTAGCGAAGCAGCCTCCGGTCGGCCATGTCCACGCTGTCTCTCTACAGTGGGTAAAAGTTGATGGCTTAAAACAACCCTTTATGCAGCACTCTGCATTAAAGTTTTATACTCGTCTTACTCGTCATTGTCAAGAGATAAATGATTCTAAATGGTGAATGCAACGACAAAGTACACGCTTAACATGCACTTCTATGAATACTGCCATTCATTTAAATCCAATGATACATTGTAATGGAATAGTTTTGGTTTTATTCATGATGTACAGTTAAAATAAAGCCATGGACACAGTTTTTGAAAGGGCATATTTTTAGTTTAATACTTTAAGATTATTGTGGTTTGATACCTAGCCCTATAAAGCCTCCTAGTGATGTAATACTACTTCTACTACTACTACTACCACCACCATTAACAATAATATACAGTATGTACAATACAACTTGTGAGTACCTCAAGTGTTGGTAGCAGTAAGGACAGGAAGTCAACTATAGATGCAAACAAACAGCCCTGACAACAAATAAACGGGTGAATGTCAAACTTAGATTTAGCGAATGAAAGTGAAAAGTTCTGACAAATCAACACACATTCGTTTGAATAAACTGACAATGGAGGGTCATTCAATGTCTGTACAACATAAGAAAAAAACGTTATCAGCTAGTTATTTTTCTGAGAAACGTTGCTTGTTTTCTTTGTAATTTATGTGCATTGGTCCTCATGGAGGACCCAGGTAAAACCCCAACTATTTACCATTTAGGCTTGTCATTCATCTAAAAAATGAAAAAGCAAAATAAAAGCATCATATTCTACCTGGGTGGGAAGGGGAAAATGGAAAGAATGAGAAAACAATCAAGTATTTTACGGTCCCTTCTTCCTTTACGAATTCACTTAATATTTCATCTTTCCTTGAGGCATTCTGCCCTTCAATTCAAGAGATAAATAATATATACCCACCTCTTTTGTCACAGTCTTCTTCGGTTAAAAAAATCGAAGCCAAAAGCCAGGGTCAAGTGCAAACTACAGCGCCTGCAAGAGGAGTTTCTTATGAAAGGGTCATCGGTTGCAAACTACAACCCCCTCTGTGGTCTCATCCCTTGACAATACGTCTCCCAGCATCCTGATTTCCATCTCTTCCAAAACCTTATGTTATTTTTGAGCAGATATCTGGGGAACAGCTGGATGTTTGTGTTCTCTCTCAATCAAACATCTGAAGGCCTCTGAACATCCTGGTCGGAGGCCAGCCACCCACCGTCTTATGAGCGCGTCAGAGCACTGCCGAGGTCCTCTGCAGCCTCCCATGTTTAAGATGCTGATCTGCTTACACTGTGCAGCGGTGTACAAAATGTTTTTCAGAAACGCTCTTTAATTGAAAGAATACGGTGATCTGTATCTGGCTCATAAATGCAGAGTGTTGCATAAGTCTTTTTAACAGAGACACCAATGAGTCACAGCCATGGCACACACTGATTTCCAGTTTTGTCACCATCTGCTTTCACTCCGTTCCCTCCGCTTGATGTTCTTTTGATCGAACAATCCCTCACCATGTATGGCCTTATTTTGATCCACCGTTATAGTCATAGCCTGTATAAAAACCCACTTGGTATCCCAATAAGCGCCCAAATCCCATTATCCATCCAGGGTAATAATACAAACCCCATCATATCCCATCAGGATGATAAAGTGGGGCTTGCCCTCTTTGTGCCGTGCCGAGAGAGGTGCACCAGATTTTTTATTGGATTTGATCCGATGCACTCGCATTCATGCTGGTGTTTATGAGTGGCAAAATGTTGTTTGATATCTAAATAATGTCAGAGGGGGGATCCTCTCCTAAGTTACAGGAGCACGGTGAAAATTGCAAGGCCACCCACCCACAGTCAGCCCTATGATGGATTGGTTTCAATATAGGGCGAAAAGCAAAGATGCACAGTGATTAAAGAGAGAAAGTGGGCGCTCTCGTGAAATCTATTTTCTC